AGAGTATAATCGAAGCGTATAATGCTAAATTAACGAGCATGTAAGAATTGTTGGTATACATGTTGACTCAATTGACTGGAATATGAGATTGGATGTGTTGTATTTAGACCATTGTCACTTTTGACATAACTGTTGAGTTGAAGTAAAATAAAAGTGTTAACTAAGGCTTTTAATAGTAAACTCATCAACATATAAGAATTGATGTTGTCACTTGCATAGCATACGAGAACGGATGTATTAAATAAGTGAGGGTGTTTTAATGTTGAATTGTACAAAATTACAGGTGTAGAGATATTGGAAGTTTATAATAATAACGGTGATGTTGTTTTCAAATATTTGGTTGATATTGATCAGATAAATAAGATTGAATTAAATTTAAAGCGTTGTCTTTGACGACGACGGAAGTTAACATTTTTATAAGTAATGATCAACGCAATCAAATGCTGGGCATTTGATTCCATAGATTAGTCTGAGCACCTATATGCACTTGTATGTGTGGCTGAACGCCCTTTGGAGAAAACGGATTGACTATTGTACTAACTAAATAGTTTAAATTGAAATTAATCCTTTCAGAATTGATTTTATGTGTCTGTTGTAATTAATGGGAAATTAGAAGAGGTGCTAATTTATAGAACCCAGACACCGTATACAGACACTTTAGAAATATTATGAATAAAGCGCTCGAGGTGTACAAGATAGTTACACTGCAAGATTGTAGTAAGGACGATCACAAGGTAAAATTTGATACACCTCTATGGAAAATAGTCGGTAAATATACGCGGTGAAGAGTTGTACATGAACGAATAGATCTGAAAGATTAAGGAATGCTAGTGATACAATGATGAGTTACAATCGATGACAAGCTGAATTATGAGCAAAATGGCTAATAGAACGGGCGGTTGATATGACAATGAAAAATGATTTGCAGTACTTTGATGAAATTATGAGATTAATATAATAATCATATGACTATGAATACGATTTATGGATTTTAAGGTAAATGATGGTGATTTAGATTTGATGATATACTGATGAGATGATTGCGCTGAGATCGCGGCTGATGGTTCCGTATACGTTAGTTCACGGAGAAAATGGGGATCCGCGTGTGCTCAATGCGACGTACAACGAACGACTCGTTTTTTGTTGATGCTACTCAAGATTTGGTAGATAATAATAGGAGTAGGGTATGTGGTAGTAATATATTGCATGTTCGTTCAGAAATTGGTAGATACTAGATATATATCAACCAGATATATAATTCGAATTTGGTACATAATTAAATTGAATTAACTTATGATTAAATGTTATAAAGTCCTTTAAAGCGTTGGAGAAATAGTAAAATGGAACCAGGAAATCCAGTTCTTAAAGATATGTAATAGAATAAAAAGTAATAGTAAATTTTGATGGGAGTGCATATAACCCATAGTTGAGTTGCAATGTAGAGCACTTGAGGCTGAAGTAAAAATAGCATAGTACCATAAAGAATATGACTAGTTGGAGGCCGTAACTCCTTGCGTGCGCAAGCGGTGAATGCCTCATTGAGATAATGACCAGTTGTTAAATATTTGATGTGTTTCAGTTGGAGATCGTAGTTCCTTGTGGCGGCAAGCAGTGGCTGAGTCTAATGAGAATCTGACCAGTTTGAGGCCGTAGCTCCTTGTGTGGGCAAGCGGTGGCTGAGTCTAATGAGAATTTGACCAGTTTGAGGCCGTAGCTCCTTGTGCGGGCAAGCGGTGGCTGAGTCTAATAAAATCCAGATCTGTTGAGACCGTAGTCATAGTGGGCAAGCGATGGCATTTTTTAATGTTTTGTTTTAACAGGTATTTCACTAATTAGCTAGGCAGCCGTGTTTGCAGAGATGCTGACTAGTACCTGGTGTGAAAAATTAAGTGATACAACTTAAGGCGGAAAAATATAACAAAGACTGAATTCATGATGTTGAAATGTAATGTGTAGTTGTCAGTGGCAACTTTCATATTTTAAGTATGTAAAGTATCTCAAACTAAATTTTATATGATTTTAATTTTATTATATTACCCGATGTTAACTGTTATGATAATATCGAATGAGGCCCTTCGATAACGTTGGATGGCCGAAGTGGCTACGAATACCATCGATAAAATATAAAGTGAATAGTAGGCTTACTAAATTCACGTTCGTTTGACGAAAGTTAGTAATTCGTTTTATGGAAATTGCGCAAGGTTTTACAACAAACTCCCAGAGTCTGTACTCAATTTGCTAGAAAAAGAAATCAAATGTGTCATAAAATATTTTCTTTGTAAAAAAAAAAAGCTTATTATAAAATTGAAAAATTTATAAATGTCATCATTTATAAATCAGTGTTTTTTTTTAGAAAATATCTAACTTGAAATTCATAGCGCTGTCAATGTTGTCTGATTGAACGGAGATTAAGTGCGTAGCGGTTTTTATGTTGATTGCCGCACGCCTAATCCTTGTTGTTAATTAAATATAAGTAAATCAATATTTATTTAAAAGAGCAACACACAGGTTTCTTGTTTATTCTTGTGATAAATCTGCGTTCCGAATAAGCGATAGATTCAAAAATCTTGACTGCTCAAAAGTGCTTGTGTTAAGTTTGTTTGAATAAAGATTATTTCTATTTCACATTAATCTGGAACAGTGGGTTTTGGTTTATGTTAAACTGGTGTTGTAAAGAAAATTGAGATCAGTATCTACAATCATTTATAGTTCCCTAAATGTACAGGGTTCAAAGGGTGCAATAGATTACTTGACCAGTGAGCTGATGGTATTGTTAAGTAAATCATAACTGAAATTCAATGAATTATGTTATATTAAAATAATTCTCTGGTAAATCAAGAGTATCGTCGAAGTAAAATAGTAGTAGTAGTATTGAGGGTATTAGAACCACTTGAATAATATTGACCTGTTATTTTCTATTGGTTAGGTGAAGGCAGGCAGCGATTTTGTTCTAATTTTATGTCACGAGAATAATACTTTCTCTTTATATTTTTTCTCTATATATGTAGGTAATTAAGTTTTACCTTTTGTAATGTGATATGTTAAATTTATCCGTTAAAATATTCATGATGAGAAATGTCAAGTTCTATTTTGGAGGTATAAAAAAAAAATGCAATGTTCATAAGATCGGAAACTTACATTGTGATGGTGATATGTTACAGTCTGACTCATAGAAGTCAATCACCGCCAAATAATTGTTTGTTACTCTAAAAGGTTGTTCATGTTTTTGGGTGATTTGGATTATGTAAATTAATATATGTTATGTTATATTTTGTGCATTCTGAATGCATGCCGAAACTTAGCTCTGTTAGTATTGATTTTAGATTGTAAACCTTTGACAGTATACTAAGATAGTCAATGTTATGAAAGTAATGTGTATCTTTAGTTTATTTAGTTAAGTATTTGTTATATGATCCTGTAGACACTATATCCTTTGATAAGCATGACTACGCTCATCAGTTACCTATGTGTCTGGGCCAGACACTATTGCAGGATGGCCGACTGTTAACTATCGTGTGACGCACCATTAATTAAAAATGGTAAAGTCAATAATCATGTAACCTGAAACGGAACGTCAGAGGCCAGAGCCAAAGTAATCTATGTGACATTGACAGGTGGATGACGGACGATTGAACGGAGGCAGCGGGAGTTTTGGAGCGAAAGTGTTGATATTATTATAAAAACAAATAAGAGATAGATAATTGTGAATATTGTAGGCATTGAGGTGTTTCTCTCCCTGACTAATCGGCATTACGCCTAAGTCGTCAGGATACTAGTGATTTTAAAACAAGGATTATTTAAAAGAGCAACACACAAGTTTCTTGCTCGTTCTTCTTGTGATGAGACAGCTTTCCGAACGAGTGGTAGATAAAAAACAAATTGTTATGACTATTCAAAAGTGCTTAAATTAAGTTTATTTGAATAAATGATTTTCTATTCTATTCTATTCTATTCTTATATTTATTACTAGCTGTGGCCGCGGATTCACCCGCCTGAAATTTATAGCCTATATGTTATTCTGATGTATCTAAACACGCGGTAGCGTGTCAAGTGTGTATATTTACACGAACCATTTGGAGCCACTTTTGACCCCCTCATAACTCAAAAACTCTTTCACATAAACCTGTTAAATTTGGTTCATATATTGAGACTTGCGAGATAAATATGTGTTCCAAATTTCATAAACATATCTCAAACGGTTATTTAGATATTAATGTCATATTCGAAATATTCATTCATATACGAAATATACTGTAGCCTTCGCAAGTTCTAAACATGTTACTTGTCGGTTCCTATTTTATTACTAGTAGTAACTAGCAATCGAAAGTAATAATTGGTATATGAGAACTGGCCAAGTTAGACCTTAGGCTACAGTATATTATCCTAAGTTATAAGAAGAAATGATATTTTATATTGTTACAAATACATTTCAGGACAGACCATTGAACTTGGCACCCATTTAGATCTCACCTCTTTTGTCGTAGAAGTCAACAATCAAGGCATATATCATAATATTAAACTCGGTTATCATTTCACATTTATGTTTTTGATGGGATAAGCTATATTACTGAAAAGCTACATCGATTTGCGTGAAAGAATAACAAACATCCATCCATACTCACAAACTTTTATGTTTATAATAATAATAATAATAATAATAATAATAATAATAATAATCTCAGGACAATTCACACAGCGCCATCTAGACCCAAGTTAAGCTAGCTAAAGCTTGTGTTATGGGTACTAGACAACTGATACAAATACATAGATGTTTTTTTTTTTTTTTTCGTAAATACATACATATTATACATAGAAAATACCCAGACCGATACAAACAATCATACTCATGAATACAAATGTTTGTGCCGTGCGAGGAATCGAACCCGCGACCATCGGACGTAAAGCGGTGTGCTAGACCGCTAGACTACCGAGGTCGGTTTATAATATTATTAAGATAATAAAAATATAGTTAGTCTATGGTAGTTATGGTATACACTCACCATTTTGGCAAGCATGGTGTCCATCTGCGGCTGGTGGGTGGCGGTGAGCAGTTGTCGTATCCTGGAGGCGTTGGCGACGCACTGTGCCATGCAGCGCTGCAGCGCGGCCGCCTGCCGCACCAGCGCTGCGCTCAGCGGAACACCCTCACCAGCACCGCCGCCTCCGCCGCCCCGCAGCACAGACTCCAGCACGTGAGCATGCTGCGACACGAAGTCTAGGCACCGCCGAAGCTCCACGGCCTCGCGACGCTGTCGCTCTGTTGGACAAACAATCATTGTAGGATTTTCAATGGGAAGTTACTTGTGAATAGATGCTGCTTGTAGGGACTGGGCTCTGATAAGTGAGACTGATTTATTTTATTACTCAAGTAATTATTTATTTATTTATATGAACTTTGCTATTTGGCAATGTGTGTTTACACATTTTTTTTTATATATAATTCTGAGCAATATTTATTTAAAAGAGCAACATGCAAGTTTCTAGTTCATTCTTCTTGTGATGAATCTGCGTTCCAAATGAGTGATGGAAAAAAAATTATGACTATTCAAAAGTGCTTATAATATGTTTATTTGAATAAAAATTGTTTCTATTTCTATAAGCTGGAATTATAATTTAACTGAAAAGACCTATATACAGTTTCTTGTTATATTAAGTAATATAAATGTACTATGTGTCTTACCATATTTTCTCACTGAACTATCTACAATTCTAGCATGCATATAAAAAAAATGTATGCGAAAGGGGTAAAAATAATGCCAATAACATGCTTTGGACAGAGTTGTACTTTGGCTTATGAAAAATACATCCATGGTAATTCTTATCAATTGCCATGAATGAGGACTATGGTGATATGCCACAATCTATGATGTGTTCAACGCACTGCTGGACAACATGCATGTGGAACAAATAACCCTTGTTAATATAAAGGGTATATATAATAAAATTACTTCATATATTTAAAAAATTACTTCATATATTTAAATAATAAAATTAAAAAATAAAAGAAAATATTGTGCCCATTTCCCACACACTTGTGGAGTGATTACCTCATTTTCTAACATAAAAGTTGTTGTAGTTGATACATAGGGCTAAATGAAAATAAATAAATTGTATTGATGCTAATTTATCCAATTATTGATATACTTAATTTTATTATTTTAATAAAAATCTTCTAGTGTTAATTTCTTAGAAATTTTATAGAGCATTATATTGGTGTTGAATTTAAATTAGTCTTTGTATTGAACATGATAAGATTGCTTATTGAATATGAAGTATTAAAAATATAAAAAAAAGGAATAATGCATTTTCATTCTCCAATAAAATATAATTCATGATAACACAATAAATAAATGGATTACTCATGCATTAGTTTATGCTGATATAATAATAATATAATGCAAAAAGGATTTTAATATTTATAACCACATACGAAAAATCAGTTTATTAACTTATGCACAGATAGCAAAATTATTGTGTTTAACAAAAAAAAACACTCGTCATTATAAAATTATGTCCGTTACGAATAAATTAATAAGGTACAGATTAGCAACAGTGTTAAATTATAGAGACTGAAGTATTTAGTAATTTAAATATATTTACATAGAAATGAGTATAGGCGGCAAAATAATATGCAAGATTCGTACCGTGAAAATCATATATTCTTTGCGTTCTTCTTAAATATTTCTCCTCTTGCAGCTGACGGTCAACCTGCGCTTGCTTTTCTCTGGTTTCCAGTACATCGAGAATAGAAGAAAATAAAGATTTTCTCTCATTTGTGTTTGTAACGGTTTCTTGCATTATGATGACAGAAAACGCTGGCTCTTAGTTAAACAGACAAACAAATGCTCGACTCCGAGGTTAATACTTCGAATTTAAATTAGTCTATTTAAAAAATATTAACTCAATTTAAACGAGATTACAAAATTCAAACAAAATTCAAATTGAGACAACAGATAAGAAGCTTTCACAAACAACAACTGAACTGACATGAGGGTTCAATTTCTGACCCTTTGACATGCGTTTTATTTTGACATTGACATCAGTACAGTGTAACCATCACTGATATTTCAAATTTTGTCCGCCATTAGTAGAATGTGGGAATTTTATAAAACGTTGTTGTTAAAATAGACATTTTAATGTAATTTAAGCGAAATAAAAATACACAATTGTATATATTTGATATAAACCGAATTTGCAATTTACTTTTTTAAAATAAAGATTTTAAAATTAAAAAAGATATTCAAATAGTCTATGACTCCCGTCGGTCGTTGCCTTGAAAAAATTGTACCCAGAGCCTTAAAATGATTTGACAATTCAGTAATAAAAAACTAAAGTGTTTTAAATTATCAATCTAATTATTTTGATTCTCATATTCATCAAAGTTTTCAATATATTAAATTTAGAAAATGGCAAGAGAAAGCAGCGCTGGATTTGATAGACATATTACTATTTTCTCCCCTGAAGGAAGACTTTATCAAGTTGGTATGTAGTTTTCTTTAAGCATCGGTATTTCGCTACTACACTATATGTAATTTTATAAGTTTTTTGTCATTGTTTCCAATAAAGATACAACATACATACTTAATAATATAGTAAAGATACAGAAATGTAAGAGAAGATCTATTCAATTTTCAATCATTGCCCCCTGATTTAATATTTTATTGAGGTTATCATTTAAAAATTTGTAATGTCATGCTTATGTTTACCCGGTTTAGCAGTTTATTAGTATATTTAGTAATTAGACACTAAAGATTCATAACTGTCCGTAGTCAAATAGAATGTCAAATAAAAATATAGGTATATAATAAAGTACTGAAAGTTATTAAAAATAATAATGACAAAAAATATTTTCAACTGAGTTTATTCTTCTTAACTGTAGTATCTAGCTGAACTGACACTGAAAGAGAGAACTGAAGTGGGAACTGGACAGTAGGGTTAGTGATAAAAATTTATAATCATAAGCAACCAAATTCTCCTATATGAATAAATTAGTTTGAATATAATTTAAAGTCTAAGCATTTATAAGGTCTTTGTAAATAGTTTTTGTCAAAATTTACAAAATTGTTTCAATATTTTAAAAATTGTTTCATGAATATAGCTGCACACATTTGCACTAGACTCGATTCACTGAAAATCAGTGTTTCGTTTATCAAGTAAATTATTGACTGCATATCTAAACCTTTTCATATCCCTGTGGCACATAATATATTTTACTTTATTGTTTTCATTTTACATGTATAAGTTAGTGTATTTTGTTTTTTTTTTATGTATAACTAGCAGACTGGGCCATGCGTTGCTGTGGCTAATAATAGAGGAATAATTTGCAATAAAATAATATTGGAACTATAAATTGAGATGTAAACTATCTTATCAAGTTGGATCAAATTGCACACAATGTTCAAACCAAATTTGCAATTGGTTCAGTAGTCCGTCTGCGGTGAACAAACAATGTGACACATAATTTTTATGTATAAATAATATATTGTTACACACATATTTATTTACAGCATTAATGTTGTTTGCATTATTTTCGATATGTATAAAGATTTTCTAAAAATATATCTGTCTAGGTTATTTTTTTATAATAGTGTCCCATCACACTGCAATGTTACAGAATATGCGCTAAAAGCCATCAATCAAGGTGGGCTGACGTCGGTGGCGTTGCGCGGGGTGGAGGCGGCCGTGGTGGCGGCGCAACGGAAGGTCCCTGACCGGCTGCTGGACCCCGCTTCCGTCACACACCTGTTCCCGTTAACCAGCAGCATCGGCTGCGTCATGACCGGCATGATAGGTAAACTTGTTTGAACAAGTTACATATCATCATTTTTTGATCATTGAGTCTCATTCCCAATGTTAGGGGGGAAATGGGATTGTTAGTAATGTGGACTATTGAACCCATTACTAGCAATGTACCATGTCAGGTTGACCTCCACGCGGTTCCCCCTGGAAACCATCGTGATAACTTCCTGGTGAATTTGTCACGATGGGCTAACTGACCTGACCTCACGCTCATCTTATCATCCTCCACTGGTGCCCCGCCAGCGTAAACCATTAGCGCAGGCGGGTGCACCATTCCATTATCATCCTTAAAAAAAAAAAAGTCTCATTCCCACAATAAATATGCTGAAGAATAGAATAGACAATAATTTATTCAAATAAACTTAATTTAAGCACTTTGAATAAATTTTTTTTTTAATCTACCACTCGGAAAGCTGTCTCATCACAAGAAGGAAAAAACTTGTGTGTTGCTCTTTTAAATAATCCTTGTAAGTTCACTTTAAAAGGCTTGATGAACTGATTTCAAGATGAAAGAGCCTAACAGATTTAGAATTCTTTTAAAATACAAATTCGTTTTTAATATTAACTCCCAGAAAATAGATGTTAAGTCATTCTACATGCTTGAAAAAAACACCCCAAAATAAATTTAGATAAAAGGAAAAAAAAGACCTGTCCGAACTTCGCATGAATCTATTATAAATCTTTGTATTACTCGGCTTGTTCTATACTACAACACTAATGAAATTTTATTTATTTGCGTATTATACAGTTAGATATTATAATATGTCCAGGTAATAATATTATTGGCAACTGTTTAATTGCCCCAATTTACGGGCATGCAAATTTTGGGTATATTAAAATGGAATAATTTATAATATTATAATTTAAAATTAATGTCTTATGTACCATTCTAATTATATAGTAATAAAAAAAAAAAAGTCAACAATCATCACACAAATATTCTTTGATGTCATAAAAACACTTGTCCAGCAACCAGTAATATAATCGATTTTTTAATTTATTTAAAGGCATTTTTCTCAAGTCCGGTGGTAATTTATTAAAGATTTTTTGTGCCATAAATGATACATTCCTTTGGTAAAGCGTCAAATTGCTCTTTGGTACCAATATTTTATTTCTTCTCTGTGATCTGAGACAGTCTTTTATCTGATCATGTGTGCTAAACAAGTTTGGATGTTGTTTCACAAACGTGCAGATATCAAGTATATACATACAAGGCAACGGAAGAATACCAAGTTTCTTAAATAGAGGTCTACATGATTCTCTGCATCCGACATTGCAAAGGGCTCTAATACATTTTTTTTGAGCTTTAAAAGCTCTATCTATGTCACATGAGTTGCCCCAGATTAGCAATCCATAACGCAATACAGAAGAAACAAACCCATGATACGCATTGAGCGCAGTTTGTAAAGTGGCCACTTGTCGGAGTCTGAACAATGCAAATACAAATCTATTAATTTTTCTGCAAATATTGTCAACATGTTTTTTCCAATTCAAGTTTTCGTCTAGTGTAATTCCTAAAAATGTAGTAGAGTCCACTTTGTCTATTTTTGTTCCATCATGCAATATATTTAAGTCAATTTTTGGGCTGGAGTATGTCTTGAAATGAATGCATTTAGTCTTTTGTAGATTAATTTTCAAGTTATTATTATTTAGCCATAGTATAACTCTATCCAATGCACTATTAATATCTTTATTAAATGTAGCTAAATTTGTACACTTACATAGTAATGTACAATCATCTGCAAATAGAATACACTTTTGGTCAACATAGTCTGGCAAGTCATTTATGTAAAGGAGGAAAAGTAATGGGCCCAGAATACTTCCCTGAGGAACTCCATTTCTATTAAATTTAAACTGAGAGTGTACTGATTCTCTTACATTTTTTTGCATACTCATTAATTCGGTATATTGACTTCTGTCTTGTAGGTAGCTTCTAAACCAATCCAATGAAATTCCCCTGATACCTAAATTGTCCAATTTGTTAAGTAATGCTTCATGTTCTACCATATCAAAAGCTTTTGTCATATCAAGGAATAGTGCTATTGTTGGTATTCTATTATTAATATTTTCACAGATATCTTTTATTAAGTGGTAACATGCAAGCGATGTAGATTTTCCTCTCTGGAAACCAAATTGCATAGGTTTGATGACATTATTCTTCACAATAAAATCGTTTATGCGGTTAGCCATAACTTTTTCAAAAATTTTCGCAAAGTTTGAGATTAAAGCTATTGGTCGGTAATTATTTATGTCTAAAGTATCGCCTTTCTTGTGAATAGGTTTGATCACAGATATTTTGAGACGGTCCGGAAATATACCTTTCTCCATCGATAAGTTAATCACATAAGATAAAGGTATAGCCAGATGATGTGAACATAATTTGATCATTTTTTTTGTATTTATGTATTATACATATAAACTTTCCTCTTGAATTGCTCTATCTATTAAAAAAACCGCTTCAAAATCCGTTGCGTAGTTTTAAACATTTAAGCATACATAGGGACAGACAGATAATGACAGCGACTTTATTTTATACTATGTAATGATTGCAGCGGACAGCAAGTCCCAGGTACAGAGAGCACGCTACGAAGCAGCTAAGTGGCAGTACAAGTATGGTACGGAGATACCGGTGCATATCCTGTGTCGCCGTATTGCCGACATCTCACAGGTGTACACACAGAACGCTGAGATGCGCCCACTTGGATGCAGTAAGTATTAAAAGGTTACTTAAAATATTTATTCTGTTCAACAATTAAAACTTATCATTCTCTCTTGAGTAATTTTTGGAAGATTGTTTAGCTATTATATATCTTACTGGCTTTTGTCCGCGGCTTCGCTCGCGTTAATTTATCCCCTTAGGGATGGAAGTTATCAAAATCCTTTATGCATGCAGTCTCAGCCCGATCGGTTTAAAATTGACAAAGTTTCATACAAACTTTCATCCCCTATTTTATCCCCTTGGGATAACGACAACAATTAAGTAATAAAAATTGCAATTAATATAAAATAAAAAAATCCTTATAAAAATATATATGATGCGACCCGCTGTGCAGAATAAAAATGTTTTTGGCCCTTGAAGATTTATATCATCATCAGCCCACTGCTGGACATAGGCCTCTCCCAAGGCACGCCACTGGGCACGATCTTCAGCCCTTCTCATCCAGTTACTACCCGCAACCCTACGTATGTCGTCGCTCCACCTAGCTGCGCGGCGTCCTACACTACGTTTGCCAATTCATAGTCTCCACTCTAGAACACGTCTACTCCAGCGAGCATCGGTTCTGCGACAGATATTACCAGCCCACTGCCACTTCTACTTGCAGATAAGAGCTATGTCGGTGATCTTAGTTCTCTGGCGAATTACTTCGATTCGGATTTGATCCCTCAGAGAAACTCCAAGCTCTCCATAGCTCGTTGAGCGACTTTGAGTTGGTGGACCAGTCGTATTGTCAGTGTCCACGTTTCGGCACCGTAAGTGAGTGAATGATTTATATATGTATTTGTTTCAGGTATGATGTTGGTGGCGTACGACGAGGAAGCCGGCGCGAGTGTGTACAAGACAGACCCGTCGGGGTACTACTGCTCGTACAAGGCTGTAGCGGCGGGCGCCAAGGCCACGGACGCCAACGCCTACCTCGAGAAGAAGCTGAAGAAGCGTGCAGACCTCGCCGCCGATGACGTCATCCAGCTCGCCATCTCCTGCCTGTCGCAGGTGCTGTCCGTGGACTTCAAGTCCTCAGAGATCGAGGTTGGGGTGGTCAGTAAGGACAACCCTAAATTCCAGTAAGTGTGCATTATATTGTAGTTTTTTTTTATTTAAGTTTTGGATTTGCATTCTCATCTTACCATCATTCACTGGTGCCCCGCCAGCGTAAACCGTTAGCGGAGGCGGGTGCACCATTTCATTATCATATACAAAAAAAACATATATTGTCAACCAAGTGTAAAAGGGATAATCTATATCTAAATATATATAACTCAAAGGTGACTGACATAGTGATCTATCAACGCACAGCCCAAACCACTGGACGGATCGGGCTGAAATTTGGCATGCAGATAGATGTTATGACGTTGGCATCCGCTAAGAATTTTGATTAAATCTACCCCCAAAGGGATAAAATAGGGGATGAAAGTTTATATGAAACTTTGTCAATTTTAAACCGATCGGGCTGAGACTTTGCATGCATAAAGCTACTATGACGTAGGCATCCCGTAAGAAAGCATTTTGATAAATTCCACCCCTAAGGGGATAAATTAACGCGAGCGAAGCCGCAGGCAAAAGCTAGTTTAATATAATGTTTGTAAATGTTTTCAATATTGCTACTTCAAAGTGTAATAAGTCTTTTATTTTCAGTGTGCTATCAGAGAGCGAGATCGACAGACACTTGACGGCTATCGCTGAAAAGGACTAATTAAAGTATCTAATAAATATCTAATTTTTTTAAATAAACTCTATAATATACTTTAGTTGTTTTAATTTTAAGTTTAAATTTGAATGGGCAGAATGTTATTATCTTATTATGTAATACATTTTTGTGTTAATCTATACATATAAATAAAATTGGAGTGTCTGTTTGTAATATTGAAATAACCGTTTTTTACTACATGCATATCAATATAAATACGTAAACCAAAATAACATTTTTTACAATTTTTATCTGTCTGTCTGTTTGTTCTGGCTAATCTCTGAAATGGCTGGATCTATTTTGACAGGACTTTTTTGGCAGTAGATGTAATAAGGAGTAATAATGTAAATAATAATAATAATTACTCTTTATTGAGATACGGTACATACACCAAAATAACATTTTTTTATAACGTTTCTCTGTCTGTTTGTTCCGGCTAATCTCTGAAATGTCTGAACCGATTTTGACGGAACTTTTTTTGGCGGGTAGCCGATGTAATAAGGAGTAACTTAGGCTACTTTTATTTTAGACAAAGTTAAATTCCACGCAGACGAAGTCGCGGGTGCAGCTAGTTAAATACAAAATCAGTAAAAGTGGCATTTCATACACACAAATATATTATGTTCTTATCCATAAAGTTCAATATCTTACAACCACAGATAAGACTAACAACGTACTGACTCGTTAGTATAAAGTTTAATATCGACACGTGGGTCATCTACTGCGTACTACATTGAGAAATTACTCATCACTAGTTAAATCGGTCAATACACCGAAATCTGAGATATTCATTCGAAGATCACTAGGCACGTCTGTAACTACTTTGGTGAAATTCTGTAAGCTGCAACAAAACGCGAGCCCGTACACGGGCGTTTCGTAGTTACGGTTTTTCTTCAGCTCGTGGATCCAATTGACGGCGTTACAGGCACTGTCACAGAACACGGCCTCCTTGATCTCGCTGACTGCCACGAACGGGTCGTTCAGGACCACTACGGCTAGCGCCCGACGTCGACTGTAGTCGACCACCACCATCCAAATGTACTTCGGTACTGGGAACCTTTCGCCCGCCTTTAAGAACAGTCGAGTTTGGTGATGGCCCGTTCGCATCTCGGCGACTCCCTGCGTACCCGTAACGACGGCGACGGCTCGCGAATGTGTGAGTCTGATCGCGCGAGCGACGTCGCGCTGCAAGTGCAGCAAGTTGCCCGCCGCTACACTGCGCCACACGGCCGCTTTGTTCGACGCGAAGTCTGTCACGCGCATGTTCTGGTCTTCGAAGTAGTGCGGACTGAGCAGTTTGACCGCAGTCAGCGTCTGGTCTGCGAACGTGTGGGGCTCGTGCTTGAGCAGCTCGTGGAGGCGGCGGTTTAAGCGCGCGTCGTCAGAGTACAGCATCTCTGCGTCCTGGCGGTTCTTGGCGTCGAACATGTGGTTGAAGTTGCCGAGTAGCGTTAGGGGCGCGGTGTGGTGTGAGTGGGGGGGTAAACGGAGGTCGTTGCCCCGCGCGGCGGTGAGGTGCGCATGCCGCAACAGACCACGATCCGCGTCGTAGCACAGCGCAGCCACGTGCGCCACGCGCCCTCCCCCCGCGCCCTGGTACGCGCGGCCCTGCAGCGGGGGCGCACATCCGGCCACCTGACAATAACATTAAAAAAAACTTAACATACCATCACCACTATCACCACAGGGGGGAAGGGGATTGTTAGTACCATGTCAGGTTGACCTCGTGGTCTAGAAACCATCGTGATAAATTCTTGGTGAATTTGTCACGATGGGCTTACTGACTTGACCTCATGCTCATCTTATCATCCTCCACTGGTGTCCCGCCAGCGTAAACCGTTAGCTCAGGCGGATCCACCATTCCATTATCTTTCCAAAAAAAAAAACTATCACCACATGGTATTCTAGATAGAGTTCTCAGATTCTTAAGGTCCAGCAACACGTATGTGACACCTCTGATGTTTCAAACTGTCCTGGATTTTTAGACCATATAGGCCGCGGCCTGGGGGCGGCAGATTTCAGAGGGAGATCGGTCACTCGATTTCAGATCATATAAGTGAAACAATTAAATTAGAGAAAATTATTATTTTAGAAATGTATATCCATGGGGCGGAAATAAAGTGACCTACACTCATCTATACATACAAATAAAATTGGAGTGTCTGTCTGCAATTTTGAAATATCCGTTTTTTACTACATCCATATGAATATAAATACTATACTGTACATAGTCCAACATTTTTTACAATTTTTGTCTGCTTGTTTGCTCTGGCTAATCTTTGAATTGGCTGGACCGATTTTGACGGGACTTTTTTTGGCAGGTAGCTGATGTAATAAGGAATAACTTAGGCTACTTTTATTTTAGGAAAATAAAGTTAAATTCCACGCGGACGCCGTTGCAGGTACAGCTAGAATTTTTTTTTTAAACCAATTTTGGTTTCAAACATCTACAGGCTACAACGGTAACCGCTTACCATTAAATGATCGTATTCTTATTTGCCACTATCGTAGTGTAAAAAATGGGATAGATACAGTCATTGTCATCATCGAATTAGAAAAGAGGAGATCCGCAGAAGTACCAGACATAGCCCGAAGAATTACAACACTGAAGTGGCAATGGGCAGGGAACATAACTTGTAGGACAGATGGGCGTTAGGGCTATAAAGTCCTCGAGTGGCGACCACGGACCGGAAGACGCAGCGTGGGAAGGCCTCCAGCAAGGTGGACCGACGATCTGGTCAAGATCGCTGGAAGGCATTGGATGCGAGCAGCTCAGGACCGATTGTCGTGGAGATCTTTGATCTATGTCCAGCAGTAGACGTCTTCCAAGTAGTTAAATAACTCACCTCATGCAATACATCTTCAAACACGTTCTCCTGGCAGCCGAGCTCTATCAGGTGCTTGAGCGACCCATCGTGAGGCACCCTGTAGCGTCCCTGTTTGCAGACGACAGTGAGCGTGTCCCTCAGAGGGTACGCGAGGAACTTCCCTCCGCTGCACACCAGCACCACCTCATCTCCCGCAGCCGCTGTGATGGTGCCGTTCTCGGAGCGGTGTGACGTCACCAACGGCATGTTGTCCGGGATGCACTCACGACATTCCAGCTCGATGGTACACGGAGCTGGGAAATATTGAAATTTCCTGATAACTTGAAGTTGAAATTTCCTGATAACTTGAATTGTAATCGCCCACTTGTCTAGTACTGGACAAGTGATAAACATAATATTTTATGTATATTTTGTGTATTTATATTATTTTGAATAATAATATCTCAGGACAATTCACGGAGGGTCTTCTAATCCCAAGCTGGCAGAGCTTGTGTTATGGGTACTAGACAACTGATATAAATACATAGATATTTTTTTCGTAAATACATACATTATACATAGAAAACACCCAGACCGATTGAAACAATCACAATAATTAATACAAATGTTTGTACAAGGAGGAATTGAACCCGCGACTGTCGGTCGTAAAGCGGTGTACTAAACCGCTAGGCATTGTCAATAGATAATATTTTGAAGCACATTTTTAAATTATTTTTATTTTAAATAATTATATCTCAGGACAACTCATCCAACGCTATCTAATCCCAAGCAAAGCAAAGCTTGTGTTATGGGTACTAGATAACTATAATATACAGATACAAATGTTTGTATCGTGCGAGGAATCGAACCCGCGTTCCTGAGGGGCCCATCCCCTAGTTAGTAATGTGGATTGATAACCCCATTGCTAGCAATGTACCATGTCAGATCGATCTCCACGCGGTTCCCCCTGTTAAACCATCGTGTTAAATTCCTGGTGAATTTACATTTAACTGATACAAATACATAGATATTTTTTTGTTTTCGTAAATACATACATGTTATACATAGAAAACACCCAGAACGATACAAATAATTATACACATGAATACAAATGATTGTGTCGTGCGAGGAATCAAACCCGCGACCATCAAATGTAAAGCTGTGTGCTAGACCTCTAGACCTCGGTGGTCTAGCGGTCTAGCACACCTCATCATTATTATTATTATCTAATTATAATTAAAGACTAGGTTACTATAATTGGCTAAGATTGTAAACTTCTCAATTGTAAAATAATAGCAATGATATAAGCTGTTGTTATCCCAAATAAATAAGACTGTATTTTATTTAAAAAAAATAGGAAACATAATATTTTAAAGTACTTACAGTCACTAAATGCAGCGTATTTAAAACAAAACACGATTAAAACAGCACGCAGTAAGGTGTCCATGGTCGCTCAATCCAGGATGCTGAGGGGCGACTGCGAGATGCCACGGCGCTCCTCTGGCCAACCGATAACAGAGGGCACAGGGCAGCACGGGCGAGACAATAACATGTTTTGTTTTCAATAGACCTATTTACAAAACGTATTTCCTGTATAACAAAAGGGGCAGGTAGCATATTTAAAATTATCGTTACAAATGTATACTACAAAATAGTAAGAAGTGATACCCTCGTAGCAAGTTGTGGGATTTCATAATCTAAATATATATAACTCAAAGAGGACGGATCGGGCTGAAATTTGGCATGCAGGTAGATCTTATGACGTAGGTTAAGACGCTAAGAAAGGATTTTGATTAATTCTACCCCCAAGGGGATAAAATAACGGGATGAAAGTTTGTATGAAATTTTGTCAATTTTAAACCCAATCGGGCTGAGACGATATAATAAGGAGTAGGTACTTAGGCTACTTTTTTTTTTTAAATAAAGACAAATTCCACGCCGTCGCGACGCGTCGAGGTTGCGGGAACAGCTAGTAAATAAATATAAAACGTGGTAAGATACCGTGATTTTTACTAATTATACGTACAAATGCTTATATGTACTTATCTATTTTGTGCGCTCATAAATAAATAAATATTTTATAGATCGGATCGAATCCGCGACCTTCGGAAAGTGTGGCAACGTAGTATTCCAATACACTATTGAGGTCATCAGAGATTAGAGATTACTTATGCATAATACAGGAAAATTAGTAAACAGTGTCCTTGGAGAAGACAATACGTAAGTTATGTAAATTTCAATATTCGTGTGTTCATTACATTTATTAAACAAGGAAATGAGACGAATTGTTTATGATTCATAGAGTAGTCAATATGTTGAAATAGAAATAGAAATAATCTTTATTAAAATAAACTCATTACAAGCACTTTTGAATAGTCAAATTCGGAATGCAGATTCATCACAAGAAGAATAATAAAGAAACTTGTGTGTTGCTCTTTTGAATAGATGTTTTTTTTATATAATAATTACAGTATACAAGAGGCATGATATTGTTAGTTGATTTAAAATAATACGTAGAAAAGAAATAATGTTTATTCGAATAAACTTAATATAACCACTTTTGAATAATCATATTTTTTATTCTACCACTCATTCGAACGTGCAAAAAACATGTTGCTCTCTTTTATTATTATACAAAAATAAATTTATTTTTCTAAAATGAAAGTAGCTTAAGTTACTCCTTATTATATCAGCTACCTGCCAATAAAAGTCCCGTCAAAATCGGTCCAGCCATATCAGAGATTACCCGGAACAAACAGACAGACAGACAAAAATTGTAGAAAATATTATTTTGGTGTATGGACCGTATGTTATATGTATATATGTGTAGTAAAAAACGGTTTTCAATATTACAGACAGACACTCCAATTTTATTTATATATATATATAGATGATTACTATTTTAGCATTTAAATATATACGACTAAAACCTGAATGCATTTTAAAGAAATTTGACCTGCAGATAACTTGTATCACGAAGAACGACAGCCATCTTGTATTTAAAAGAATAGACGAAGTCGCGTGAATCAATTAGTATAATTATCAGCCGTTATTCTTATAGTGTACAAAATGAATCGATTCCGTAAGATACCATTAAATAAACTTGATGGTACTGTGTATATATTGTAAACATGTACAACATTAATTTGAAAAGAATACGAGCTGAGTTTCTTGTCAGTTCTTCTCACCTCGAAATCATTCTGAACTGACGGTAGATTTGACATATCATAAGAGTCTGTAATAGACCTACATGAATAAAGATATCTTGAATTTGAATATGGAACACTTGAAACCGAGTAAAGGATAAAAAAGAACAAAAACAATTTTTTCAATAGGTATTTTATTATGAACATAATATACAATGGCGATGTTTATTTATAAAAGCAGGTAAAAACCGACGAGACACATACACCGTACGATAAAATATTAATTTATTTATCATCAACGTACATAATTCTTACATCCAGTAATTATAGAGTACCTACTTATATTATCTGTGACGGAACTAGTTTTGTTAAAGAGCACAGCCCTAGTGGAGGACGAGACTGAATAACATAACTAGCGTCTCATATCGTCCTAGCACTTCATTGGGACGACAAAAAGCTCTGTTCATGATTCAAGAGTATAATGGAAACATGCAAACGTTTTGCGAGTCCCGACACTTAAGTTGGGTACACGAAAATTGTAATTAAAAACATAGTCAATTTCCACTTAATAAAATTGCTTTAAAACAAAACGAAAAATAGACCTTAACGTTAAAAATCAAAAGTCCATTTTACAAACTATAGTTATTTCAATTTACTTTTAAGCATCTAAGTATTATAAATAAAATATTAAAAAAAGTAACTTCAGATATTGCATTGAAAACTGATTTACAATTCATTACTCTGTATATTGAAATCTATATGGAAGCATTGCCGTATTTTTAAGTAGGACACCTGTAAGATGTAGCGACAGATGTATTAAAACATTTTAAAACACATGTGTACTTTACAGAAATCGTTGGCAAACAATTGTGCTCACAGTACACAGATCTTGACGAAGGAGCACTGTATATATACATTTGAACTTTAGCAATATGATATTTGTTAGAAATGCTGAAAATGTTTGAACAATCCCTCAAAGATCTATACATTTATTTATTTATTAAAACTTTAATGCACAAATACATAAATAAAGGTACACATGGCGGACTTAACACCTCGAGGCACATTATACATGCTACACATCAACGTTTGAAGCTACTTCTGACATTCCTTTTAACTCTGATCATCAAACATATACGTTGCCGAATGTATCCTGATTTCACGTGAAATCAAGGAACACATACACATGTTGAAACTTGTTTAAAATATAAAAACCACACCAGACGAATTTGTTAACAATTCCTAAATAGAAAACCTGATTATAAATGTACAACTCTTATATTTAGCAAAATTCATTTCATAACACAAAGCTGTGAATAAACAACACATTGGGCGTGAGAATTGCGAAGCACCAAAACTATTAAACGATTCATCATATAGTACATACATGCTAACGCTACAAAATATATTGAAATCATGTTGCAGTGATTTATTGCACGCAGAAACTACATTTTAATGTTTTGACATTTTCAAGTACTGTTCTAGTGATTTCATCTTGAACTTTTATATTGTACTAGCTTTTGCCCGCGGCTTCGCTCACGTTAATTTATCCCCTTAGGGGTGGAATTTATCAAAATGTTTCTTATGCGATGCCTACGTCATAGTAGATTTATGCATGCAAAATCTCAGCCCGATCGGTTTAAAATTGACAAAGTTTCATACAAACTTTCATCCCCTATTTTATCGCCCATTTAATTTCACCTTTTAGTTATATAACTCAAAGGTGACTGACATAGTGATCTATCAACGCACAGCCCAAACCACTGCACGGATCGGGCTGAAATTTGGTATGCAGGTAGATGTTATGACGTAGGCATCCGCTAAGAAAGGATTTTGATTAATTCTACCCCCAAGGGGATAAAATAGGGGATGAAAGTTTGTATGAAACTTTGTCAATTTTAAACCGATCGGGCTGAGATTTTGCATGCATAAAGCTACTATGACATAGGCATCCCCATAGAAAGGATTTTGATAAATTCCACCCCTAAGGGGATAAATTAACGCCAGCGAAGCCGCGGGCAAAAGCTAGTTAATTAATAAATCACTTTAAAAACCATTTGCTGTAGATTCTCTTTCCGCAATAACTGCATATATTTGCTTATCTTTATAACTCAAGTGAAATATAAATGTACAGTCCCAAAGAATATTTGTCTTGAATTACAGTCTGTCGTAACGAAACGATATTTATATAATGATGTAAAAATATGAAAGCATTACTACTGCGTGTCGTGCACTAACTCGTCAGATAGATAATGCACTAATTGAATAATTGTTCTGTTGCATGACGAGTTAAAACTATACACGCAGATTCCTAACATTTATAGAATTAGAAAATGACAAATTGCAAGGCGTTACAGCCCTATTCAGTTTGAAACCTACTAGTGCGGTATCTGTTGTCGATAACGATCAACAAATTTATTGCACTAAATCGTTTTTGTCAGCCCTAATTTTATAATGTACACAAAGTTAGGTCTCCCATTATACCATAAAGTAGATTATTTTAAACTTTTTCAGGGTTGTTCATAATTATACACATTTTATAAATACACGAAAAGATTTCCAGTAATAGTTGTCACGATGACCGTTTTTGTATAGTATTGTATATATTTGGAGGCAAACGAACTTGCGGCTCACCTGATGGTAAGTGATTACCGCCGGCCATCCCGCGAGGAATCGAAACCCCGACCACCGAGGTCGTCAAATTACTGTTAATATCTCTATATTATATAATGTGTACAACTACAAATCAACACCAGTACATAGATACTTCCATAAGCTATCAACTAGCAGCCTAGAGGCTCGAAAAGGGGATCTAAAATTATCTGCCACTTTGACAAACATATGCTAATCACCAGACTTTGCGCTGCCGAGATCACTCCACCGCCATCTTTGGATCGTTTACTTAGAAGCAGAATTTACAATTTTATAAAACCAATTTCGGTAGTTTATATAAACTGATATAGTTTTAATAACACTCGCACTCAACTCTTTCATGACTATAGGGTTTCAGATCTGTAACAAAACTATGCGTTACTTGAATCGATTCGAATACACTCAGATAAATCGATTAAATATTTAAAAAAATTGCTTGTAGAAATCAATACATATTTTCAAATTACAACATAACTAAATTCATCGTAACATAACAAATTTATAAGAGGAAAACACTTTTGTTATCCCGGAGAAATACAACCTCGGATTCTTCAAGTCTATGGTGAATAGATATCTTCAGGGTAAGTGCGCTACATCCTAGGTCTTGCCATCATTTACCATCAGATGAGGTAAGACCAAGCGCAATCCCATTATTAATAAAAAAAAATTACATACAGTTTATACATGACCATAAACAATATCTCAAATGAAAAATTATTTTTTATCAATCCAAAATCTTCAAACCGATCATAGTCAAGTATTGTATTCTTCATTGGTTTTAACCAACGAATATCTCAAATTCATTAACATATTTATGTTATTGAAAGATCGGAAACCCTAATAGTGCCATGTCACATTTAATTAATTATATGCCATGTCTTTTTTAATTTCGTAAATGTATAATATTATAAAGAGGATCACACATGGACCCTAGCGGTTTCATGAAGATCGAAAACCCTAATAGAATCTCGTCACATTTTCGTACAGCATAACATACATATTTGTATATAGAGATAATAGATGTTTTGCCATCGTGTGGCGAGCGTGGCGAGTGTGACGAGTGTGGCGAGTGTGATGTGTGGCGAGCGTGGTGGCTTAGGAGCAGCAGGCGCGTGCGGGCGGCGCGCGTGAAGGGCGGCGCTCGACGGCAATGCGGGCGTGGTCGGCGTCCGCCTCCCGGCCCGCCGTCTTGTCGAGGATGGCCTCCGCCAGCTCGGAGAACGCGCGGTCGATGTTGATGTTGGCCTTCGCAGACGTCTCCATGAAGCGGATGCTGTGCTCGCGCGCTATCTGTACCATTACAAGCCAAGAAAAAAAAACGGTTATTTCAATATGTTACGTTTACATTCAGCCGCTTCCCCTGCCACTCGCGCTGCCGGAAATATTGCCGGGCGACAACTGAGCGAGAGGGCTGAATAAAACACGCTGCCAGTCCTTTGACTCGCGCACGAAAACCCGACAATCGAGGGAGCGCCGGGCAGCGCGAGTGGCAGCGCCAATGGCATGGGAAGTGTTTCCACTCTAGCGCTGCTCACTTCCCTGCCCACTCGGACTCAGTGTAAATTGGGCATTACAATAAGACACTTCAATTTTATTTATAAGTATAGATGTATAGATATACAGCCCATGTTACTTGCTGATACGGTAGCTATTCATAGGCGTATAACTTTAAAACTAGGCTAAGAATCTTTCGAGTCATCTGCTACAAATAAACTACTTCCCCTTTGCAACATTAATATATTATACTAGCGGTTCCCGCGACTTCGTCCGCGTGGAATTTAACTTTATTTTTCTAAAATAAAAGTAGCCTAAAGAACCAAAAATTATTTTGTTCGTTCCATTAGGTACAAATACGATAGGTTCAAACTAATACATTTACATCCTGCATCATCCCTTATTTTATCCCCATGGGAGTTGATTTTATCAAAATCCTATTTAAGCGAACGTCTCCAATCTTTAATTTCAGTTCAAGAAGATTTATACAAACTTTCATCCCCTTAGGGGTGGAATTTATCAAAATCCTTTCTTAGGGGATGCCTACGTCATAGTAGCTTTATGCACGCAGTCTCAGCCCGATCGGTTTAAAATTGACAAAATTTCATACAAACCTTCACCCCCAATTTTATCCCCTTGGGGGTATAATTAATCAAAATCATTTCTTAGGGGATGTGTACGTCATAACATCTACCTATCTACCAAACATTAGATGAACTATGGAACGTGTCTGACTCGTCTGTAAGCGAGCATTTGTCATGAAAAGAGGTAATGATGTGAAATGATCATTATACAAATATATATAGTACACCATAAGTGGCGAGGGGTTTGACAAAAAATCACGAAATATCACAAGAGGCGAGGGGGGGGGGGGAGGGGGAAGGGGCTAGTAAAACATCACGTGTTATTTTATGGCAATCAAAAACAATCTGCAACCTTTCTGTCTAGACATTTTTATCATGGTCCTTAATTTATCCTTCCTTTCTCCTCCTTTTATGTATTTAAAGTGGTATGTCTGGTCTAAAAAATGGTAAGTATGGTCCTTTATGTATTTAAAGATAATAATTTAAAAATTTTAAGATTTGCAGGTACTAAAAATACACGTGATGTTGAGTGGGAGGAAGGGGGAGTTTTAAACTTCACCGCGTATTACCAAGGGGGTGGGGGTTAGATAACGCTTAAAAAAAGATCATGGGATTAATGGACGACCCCTATGTATGTATGAGTAGATAACATTAATAATTTATGATATCCGTCATACTCGTGAACGAGTACTGTTTGTAGGGACTGGTCTGCTCTTATCTATACGACTGATTTAATCTTATTGTGTTTTTATATTTGAGCCTAAATAAATTAGTGCTGGTTGGTAGTTTGTATTCACACGTTTCCACTTGTAAAATGTGAACTTACAAGGATTGTTTAAAAGAGCAACACTTTGTTCATTCTTCTTGTGATGAATATGCATTCCGAATGAGTGGTAGAATCAAAATATGACTATTCAAAAGTGCTTGTAATGAGTTTATTTGAATGAAGATTATTTTTTTCTTTCTTTCTATTAGTATAGATTTGTGCATTAGTTTTAAATGTTTTAATACAAGTTTCTTGCTTATTCTTCTTGTGATGAGACAGCTTTCCGAATAAGCGGTAGATTTAAAAAAATGTTGACTATTCAAAAGTGCTTAAATTAAGTTTATTTGAATAAATGATTTTCTATTCTATAGACAGTACGGAACCGTCAGCGCGTGGTCCGCTCGCATTCTTTCCGGTGTTCATACATAGTTACGAAATGTATGAGTCATACAATGCATGTTCGTAGATTGTTAACATCGGCTGGATGTTAATTAATTTCTAATTTTTATGAGTACAGTCGTACAACACGCTCGAGCGCTCGCTACATACCAACACAGAGTACTGACATACTAACACACGTGTGTGTGTGTCCCAGACTATCAGTGAACAGACAGGAAAATTGTGAACAAAAACAATAAAAACATCTTGGAGGTGTCCATTTATACATCTATACATATAAATAAAATTGGAATGTCTGTTTGTAATATTAAAATAACACTTTTTACAATTACAATTTACTACATGCATATAAATACACCAAAATAACATTTTCTAGCATTTTTGTCTGTCTGTCTGTCTGTCTGTTTGTTCAGGCTAATCTCTAAAATGGCTAAACCGATTTTGACGGGACTTTCATTGCAGGTAGCTGATGTAATGAGTAACTTAGGCTACTTTTATTTTAGAAAATAAAGTTAAATTCCACGCGGGCGCAGTCGCGAGAACAAGCTAATTTATAGTATTAGTAAGGAAGTAAGGATATACTGACCGCCTCGCCGCGCTCCTTGCTCACGACCCGCTTATCTTCCATATCGCATTTGTTGCCCAATATCATCTTTTCAACGTCTTCATTAGCGTGCTGCAAATTAAACAATCACTGTTGTTTTTCAAGTTCAAGCCCTACATGTTGTTTACCAGAAGTATGCAGATGACGTATACATTGTTATCAGCCAGGCGACCTCCATCGCTCGCATTTTAACAATCCACAAAAGAGTGGGAGATTGTTAGTAATGTGGATTGATAACCCCATTGCTAGCAATGTACCATGTCAGGTTGACCTCCACGCGGTTCTCCCTGGAAACCATCATGATAAATTCATGGTGAATATGTCACGAAGGGCTAACTGACCTGACCTCATGCTCATCTTATCATCCTCCACTGGTGCCCCGCCAGCGTAAACCGTTAGCGCAAGTGGGTGCACCATTCCATTATCATCCATAAAAAAAAGGCTGATAAAGAAGCTGAAGCTGAAAGGCTGAAGGCCAGCTCCCGGCTGACGGATACGCCTTTAGTCTGAGGGCACCGCTGGGGGGTACAAACCTCAGCTCAGGCCGTCGTAAATTCAATCACCATTTGAATTGAATGGAGGATCGATCGGAAGGAGGAGATCTTTGTATATTGAACAGAGCTGTATAATGCAAGCGATGGATGACGTGAGAATATTTTACAGGTGGAATATGGAATGTGTTTGTCTCGTCTGTAATGAACGAGATTGGGGGATTGATCGGAGGCTGGAAACTATTGTTTTGGAAACATTAAAAATATATATAACTATATCCAATTGCATTTATATCATATTTATGATTTACTAGCTATAATGCTATATAACGTTAATAAAATTTATAGTAGTTTTAGTATTAAATTAATAGTAGTTATCATCAAAAGTGTACAGTCATGTAAAAATCCAATTAATTTTCAAAAGGAAATTTTCTAGCCAAGACTAATTTTAATCAATACACAAATTATATTAACAGCCTTCAGCATCAACTATTTAGCATTCCAATCAAAAAAAAAACCAGCATACACACACACATACACTGTAAATCAGAAATAATTTATAGAGCTGTAAAGCTGATTTATATGTGCTTATTGGTTAATAAACACATATAAATCAGCTTACAATTGCTCCATCTAAATTGTAAAATTCCATATTTCAATGTAATATAATAATTTTGTGTGAATAATAAACTACAAATTTTCAGCACCCGATTTGTGGTTGCATATGTAAATGTTAGGCATGAAAGGTAAGTAGTAAAATAATAGTGTCAGTTAAAAGAACTGTGGGTTACATGGTGGATCACTAAGTAGAATTTTCTTATCAACTGCCTCTATTAAATGTTTATACATTACTTTAGAAATAACTAATACAGATAATAAATATAGTCCTGTGGTAAAATTAATTAATTGGACAAAATACAAGGAAGTAGAGTTAGTAAAATATCCAATAATTGAGACAACCAGACAATATGGGAAATAGAAACATTAGCAAAGGAGACTACTGGACTCTTCGCTAACAAGACAATCTCCCAGGGGCTGAATTGCTCCAATGGGTGAACTTACTTGACTTCATCATGATGTTGATGCCCTGCCCTTAGTGTAGATAGGTGTGCATTCCATTTATATTAATTAAAATAAATGTAACATTAACCTTGTAGGGGAGAAAGAGGATTGTTAGTAATGTGGACTCTGAATCTTATTGCTAGCAATGTACCAAGTCAGGTTGACCTGCACATGGTTCCCCCTGGAAGCCATTGTGATAAATTCTTGGTGAATTTGTCACGATAAGCTAACCGACCTGACCTAATGTTCATCTTATCATCCTTCACTGGTGCCCCGCCAGCATAGACTGTTAGTGCAGGAGGATACACCATTCCATTATCATCAATAAATAAAATTTTAAAAAAACACTAACCTCGTCTATATTTCTTAACCATTTAACAATGTCATCAAATGTTTTTTCATTTGTTATATCATACACGAGCATTATACCCATCGCGCCCCGGTAATATGACGTCGTGATCGTGTGGAACCGCTCCTGGCCAGCCGTATCCCAAATCTGAAGTTTAATTTTCTTGCCACGCAGCTCTACTGTTTTTATTTTAAAGTCAATACCTAAAGATAAAATTATGATTAATAACAAATTCATCTAATCGTTACCACATTGTTATTATCAGACATACTAAGAGTAAACGGGAGAAAACCCATGAGTTAATAGTTGATATGAAGCAGTTAAAATCTATTTTATGATTACAATGTGGGTGTGAAATGAATCGGGAAATAAATCTGAATAAAATAAAGAAGTCGTTCTTACCGATAGTAGATATAAATGTCGTTGTAAAATGATTGTCTGAAAATCTAAACAATATACAAGTTTTACCCACACCGGAGTCGCCAATGAGAAGAAGTTTAAATAGTAAATCGTATGTTTTCTTAGCCATTTTAGTGTGTTAATTTAGAAATAATAATATGAACGAACTAAATTTTTAGCTATGTAGGTATATTCATGGGATCGGGAAATATGACAGTTCACAATTCGGGTTGCTAGGTTACAAAATAATTACTACAGATGATATAGCATAGCATAAATTACTACTACTTCAACTCTATAGTTTGTGACTACTATTGGCATTCTATTTTTTATTTAAATATGTATACACAGTTTCAAATTACGAAGAAATTAAGAATTTAATTCGTAATTTTCAAATTTCATAAGCATAAAGTATATTATATAAAGATCCGTAAATATAGATATAAATAGAATAAGATAATGATCTAACTAGTGACTTAATTTTTACTCATGGATAGAAATTGTTATGTAAAGGTTTAAATGTTATTTATACCTTTTAAAGAAAAGTGCATATTAAATTATTTATATTAAATGAGAAGTTTTTTTCTACTAATAATAGTTGCTCTATGACCAAAATAAATATTAGAGAGAGTACCTGTACTTCGTTTGGCAACATTCTGTGTTCCGCCATTTTAGTACTAAACATTTTTTTTCTGTAGTCCACTTCTCTCGACGCGTCTATAAAATAAATCAATAATGTAGCAAATAGAATAGGGAGTGTCAATGCAGTTCTCATAGTATATTTGTGTTATTTTGTTTTTTATACAAATCAATGGCTAAGTACTTATAGTAAACTAAAATTTCAACAAAATGCATCGACGCGGCGGGAAACGTATCCGGATGGACGATCCTCCACCAGAATATGTTAATCCAATGACTCCCGCCACGCCTATGACGGACTACGGAGGACAATCTGTACACGAGCCAGAAACGCCTAGTTATTCAGGTTTTAATGTTGGAGCAGTGGCAAACTCGACTGCCACTGAGATTGTTAGAGAGGAACCTGAAGAATCTCACCACGAAGAGGAGGCTGCCAGGTCACCATCTCCGGCTCCTACGAAACGGATCACCCGGAGCCGTGGACGAGGTGGTGATGGAGGGTATGTGGGGCGATTGGCAGAGTCGCCGCCCCCGCCGCCCCTGCGAAGACGCGGACGCGGTGGTCGCGGACGGGGCCGTGGTCGAGGGGCGGCCCCACCGCAGGCATACTCGCCTCCACCTGTACTTTTACCTGGCGACGACGAAAGTAGCCTGTATAATATTTTAAGATTTAATAAGACTGCCATAAATGTGAGTACAATTTTTATCTGGTCTTTCTCTATATAATGTTTTTGTATCGAAAATTGACAAGAAAAGTAATCCCATACTCTTTAGTAGTATAACACATTCAAGAAATCTTATTTCAACATTATTTAAACCCTTAGGTTTATTTCAATAAAAGTGCACAAGGGTAATCCCAATGTGAATTTACTCTCGTTGCGTAGATACCCACCTGTGGGCATTTTTTATGTTTTAACATAGTATCAAAGTAGTTTGTAGGCATTAAGTAACATTGAATATATATTTTGTAGCAAGTTGTGGATATGTGGATTGAGGAGTACAAGACCAACCGTGAGAGTGCCTTGGTGCAGCTGATGCAGTTCTTCATAAATTCGTCGGGCTGCCGTGGGAAGGTCACACCGGATATGGCACAGATGGATCACACACTTATTATTAAGAAAATGACTCAAGAGTTTGATGAGGTAATGTATATTTTATTTATTATATATAGGTAGTTTGTTTATTTTATTTATTTACTAGCTACTTGCCCCAGCTTCACCCAGGTGTAATTGTATTATTATATATATAAACCTTCTGAATCACTATCTATTAAATAAACAGCTTCAAAATCTGTTGTTTAGTTTTAAAGATTTAAGCATACATAGGGACAGACAGACAGCGACTTTGTTTTATACTATGTAATCATTACTAACTGAGCTGGAATAAAACAAACACATTTTATGTGAAACTTTTACCACACTATTTATTATGTCTGTATTAATTCATTCAAGTTTTAATCATTATGTACGGAGCAGTGTTTCCTCTCAGTTGTTCTTGGCTCTATTTTCAGAACTAAAATTACATCTGACTTATTATGAGTATGTGTAAGAAATCTACATGAATCAAGATATTTTTAATTTGTATTGAATATATTATATTTTATTATATATAGTGAAAACCAGGGCTAATATGGTTAAACAATTTCTGAGATTAGTGCCCACAAATACACATAAATATAAAGTTTTGATCATGACTTTGATGTGCAAACAGTGATTAGTTACATTATAAAATGTAGGATTGTATAGATATACAGGAAGTAATATAATTTAAATTAATGCAAGTATTTCTTTCCTTCATTAGGAGAGTGGAGAGTACCCTTTGATAATGACAGGCCAGACATGGAAGAAGTTCCGTTCAAACTTCTGCGAGTTCATCCAGACACTGGTGAAGATGTGCCAGTATTCCATTATATATGACCAGTACTTGATGGACAACATAATCTCACTGCTCACTGGACTCTCCGATTCACAAGTTAGAGCATTCAGGCACACAGCCACTCTTGCTGGTATGTATAGATGATTTTTTTTCAAGGATGATAATGGTATGGTATGTTAGACTCCATTCTCCGCAATTAGCCTCACATTCGGGCCGTTGTGCGTGTAGTGGATGATAATGGTTTGGTCCACCCACCTGAGCTAGCAGTTTACGATGGCGGGGCACCAGTGGAGGATGATAAGATGAGCATGAGGTCAGGTCAGTTAGCCCATTGTTACAAATTCACCAAGAATTATCATGATGGTTTCCAGAACCACATGGAGGTCAAACTGACATGATACATTGCTAACAATGAGATCATCAGTCCACATTACAGATGATCTTTTGCATGTTTCAACTTGTAATCTGTCATTAACTTGAATGGCAATGGGACACCCACTTTTTTATTTTATACTATGATGGTGGCAAATATTTATACCATCCATTTGATGGTAAATGGTTACTGTAGCCTATGGGTGGCTGAAACACCAGGGGTGTCACATGCATGTTGCCAATGATTGCCACTTGAGGAATGACTGTTGCCTATTTACATGAAGCATGTAGACATGAAATTGTCCCATTCTACAGCACCTCATGTTCATACTGAAACTTTAGTAAACTAGTTCTTGACAGAAATATGTACAGGTGGACATACTCCTGCAAACAGATTTGTTCAAAATTTGGCAGGGGAAATGGTTTTTAGTAATGGGGGTTAATAGTCCCATCAATATACTCCTGCAATATACCATGTCAGACCTGACATATCCGATGCCTGATAATCAGCATGGTCCGTCTTTGGAAATGTTGTGGTTATTTCATTATGTATCAGCCACAATGGGCTACCTGATATGATATGAGCATAATGTCATCCTCTATTGGTGCTCTGCCTGTGCTATAGTGCAGGCGAATGCACCACTCCATCATATAAAACCTATTTTGTCTTTATTAATTGACCCCACAACATGTGAGTAATTTAGGATAGCATACCAAGTCAAGACACTCTTCCTATTCATTTATTAAAAGAAAGGGTCCATCCATTAATCTTAATGTTTCTTTTTACCAATTTTATCTCTAGGAGAAGGACTCCTCACCCTAATGATATGTTGTGAGGTTTAAGACTTAGACCCCTGATGTCGAAAAACACATACATGTTTATGTATTTTTTAGTACTTAGAAGATGATAAGGTTGTACTCCCCTTGTGATATTACATGATTTTTGCCGAAACTCCCCCTTTCGAGCCTCAAAGGTCTTACCTGGTAAGTATGTGATGATGTATGTACAGTGATGAAGCTGATGACTGCGCTTGTGGACGTGGCGCTGCTGACGAGCGTGAACTGCGACAACTGTCTCCGGCAGTACGAGGCCGAGCGGCTCAAGGCGCGGGACAAGCGCGCCAGCGAACGTCTCGAGGTGCTCGTCGCCAAGCGACAGGAGCTCGAGGAGAATATGGAGGAGATCAAGAATATGCTCTCCTACATGTTTAAGTCTGTCTTCGTACACAGATATAGGTCAGTGTCACTTTTGAACCATGATGCTTATTAATGGAAGTGTCTAGATTGTGTTGGATACCTTATGTTCCTCAGATATTCATTATTTTTTATATTTATTTGTAATTCATTATTTTTGATTTGAAAATAACTGTTACCCAGTGTTAGTCTGTGTGGAATTATAATAAATCAAAGTTATAAAATGAAAGTAGCCAAAGTTAGTTACGTCCATTTAATATTAGCGATCTGAAGGTGACAGTTCTACAAAATTATTATTGTCGTAATATCACAGTACGAGGCGGCTCTGCTGTGCCATTGAAATTGCTAAGTTCAGGTCTAAACATTTAGGTTTTTTTTTTATTTGGTTGTTAGGGCTATTGTCAGGTGTTTGTAACACCTGTAGCACTGCGACCTACATAGATCTATTGTGCTCGCCCTTTTTCAAAGTTCGCTACCTAGACCCGTCAGGGACAAGAATTGAAGGATATTCTTAGGAGCGATGGTTTTTATCTCCTCGGGAAAGAGTGTAAACTTTCCAAAGGAGATATTTCGTTTATGCATGAGCGGACTACAACCACATAGGATGTGTAATAGCGCTTCTTCTTCAGTTTGACAGAATCTGCAGATTTTTGTCGTGCATAGGGCCTAGTTTTGCCATATGCTTGTTTAATTTAGTGTCCTGTGAGGGCCCTGGTCATCATGCATATGTTGTTTTTGGACATTTAGGCTTACAATTAACTCTATAGAAGTAGAATTGTTGTAATATGTCATTTTAACTGTTTTTGTCTGCTAGGGATACACTGCCAGATATAAGAGCGATAACAATGGCTGAGATAGGCATCTGGATGGAGAAGTTCCCGGCGCACTTCCTCGACGATCTCTATCTCAAGTACATTGGATGGACTCTACACGACAAGGTCAGTCAACTAGTTTACGACCGAAACCGTATTGGCAAGTCTCAGTTTCGGCCGAAACCGAAGCCGAAACTTCCTTACCAAGGTCATGTGAGGGAAAATAAAGAAAACACTTATTAACATGCAAGTTTCTTGCTCATTCTTTTTGCGCTGAGACAGCTTTCCGAATGAGTGGCAGATGGAAAAATAAATGTGATGATTATTCAAAAATACTTTAGTGTATAAGTAGTCCTTTTTATTTTGTTATCCGCAGTTAAATCTTTGGTTCTGTTTTTAAATTATTTTATTATGGACTTTTCATACAGATGTCATTTCTTTTGCTGGAATGTATGTTTAATTTTTTTTATACCTTGATGGTAGCAAACAGCCATAAGTTCCATCTCATAGTAAATTGTTACTGTGACCTATGACTCCTGAATCATCAGGGTTGTCATATATAAAAGGGTTATACATGACACCCCTGGTGTATAAAAGGGTTCCAAGGATTCCTCAACTCTGGAAATTAGCTCAACTATTGTATGTGAAATAGTTACAATCTTAAGAACCGATATAACATGCAATGTGCGTGTCTAGGTAGGAGAGGTGAGACTGCGCTGCCTGCAAGCGTTGCAGCCGCTGTATGAATGCGAGGAGCTGAAGGGCAAACTGGAGTTGTTCACATCCAAGTTTAAAGATCGTATAGTGTCCATGTCGCTCGACAAGGAGACTGAGGTCGCGGTGCATGCCGTCAAACTTGTTATAGCTATACTCAAGTAAGTGAATTATTTAGTGCTACTCTTTATTTTTATGCACTCTGTTAAACAAGTTGGTGGTGGATATAACTTCATGTGATGCTCATGTATTAATTACTTACTTAACAACCGAAACTATTAATGTTTTTATATATTTTAATTTCACTGGAGATACAAAGTAGCTGTTTCCTGGCAGAAATAGGGAGATAAATGTAACACTCAGATGATTTTAGAAGATATTTACATTTTTGAATTACGTGAAATCAAATATGGATGTTGAAGTGGAAAACAAATATGGATGGAATAGTACATTTGTGTTTATAATATTGTTATGTTCTTCAATAAATAAGACTGTAAAAAGTCATCTGCGTGGGGTACCTCAGTCTCACTATTTTTGCTGCCGCGACGGTTACTCTTGCTAGCTATGTTTAGGTCATTGGATGAGATTACTCGTAAGCAGTAAAATTACAGAATTAAAAACTTGTTATGGAATCTGGAATCGTAAAGCAGGAACGATTCGCGAGTGTGATTTTACGTATGATTTTTTTTATACCTTGAAGATGACAATTAATATGATGAAATTAGTGTACGCGGGAGAAAGCTCCTTTGAAACGGCATAGTCCGAGATCACTTAGGTTTCGACGCGTGTGGACGAATGATGTGCGGTCGATGATATGGTGAACGCGTGCGCAGGATGCACCCGGACGTGCTGACGGACAAGGACTGCGAGAACGTGTACGAGCTGGTGTACTCGTCGTGGCGCGCCGTGGCGGCGGCTGCGGGGGAGTTCCTCAACGTGCGGCTGTTCAGGGCGGAGCCCGAGCCGGCCGCGGAGCCCGCCCGCAGCCGCCGCGGCAAGCGGCGCCTCCCCGCCACGCCGCTGCTGCGGGACCTCGTGCAGTTCTTCATCGAGTCGGAGGTGACTGCTCATAAACCTTGGTCTTAAGACTTTGTGGTAGCGTACGAGAAGACTTGACGAAGTTTCCCAAATGCCGCCCAGCCTAGCTGTATTCGTCTCTTGGCCTCCCTCTCAAAGTTGTTTTTACCTAGTTGCAGCGTTTGTCCTAGATAAATATACCCCTGATCAACTTCGAGAGATACTCCATTAATGGCGACCGGTTCCGGACGAATGCGATCATTGAACATGATCTTGGTTTTGTCCAAATTCATCCGGAGACCGATGCGTTGAGACTCAGCCAGGCCGTTCAGCATCTATTGTAGGTCCTGCAGCGATTCAGTCATGATGACTATGTCGTCGGCAAATCGTAAGTGAGAGATGTTCTCACCGTTGACATTAGTAATATAAGATCAAGCTGCGACAAACTATAAGATATATATATGTAATACAAATGTATGTCTTTGTAGTTACACGAGCACGGCGCGTATCTGGTGGACTCGTTGATCGAGTCGAATCCCATGATGAAGGACTGGGAGTGTATGACGGACCTGCTGCTCGAAGAGGCCGGGGTCGGTGAGGAAGCACTGGACAATAGACAGGTCAGTCATTGCGTACCAATGTATATTCTTTTACAAGCCACTAATGTATTTTGAATAATTAAAAATACTAAGAACTGGGTTTCTTGTCTGTTCTACTCAGCCCGAAACTGACTTTTTGATTCTGAACTGAAGGTAGATTTGACATGTCATACGAGTCTGTAGTAAACCTACAAAAATAAACATATTTTAATTTGTATTAATTGTATTAAAATTCAAATTCAAATACTCTATTTGTGAAGTACAGGTTACAAAGGTCTTAAGAAATGGATAGAAGTTTCACTATCTTCTGCAATTAAGCGTTTTGTACGCGTAATTGCAGAAGAATCTTCGTCATCCAGAATTCATTTATGCTATAATAATTCGTGTCTAATAAATATTTCTTCAAATTATTCAAATAACTACTGGAACAAGGCACAAATATTTTAATATACATAAAAGTAACAATTTCCCAGTATGATATACCTACTTTAAAAAGAGCGACAAGTAAGTTTCTTGCTCGTTCTACTTGTGATGAGTCTGCGTTCCGAATGAATGGTAGAATAAAGAAATATAACTTCAAAAGTGCTTATTCAACTACTAGGATACTTCTTTCTATCTATTTCAGTTGTATAGTAGTTTACTTTGTAAGTTGTTTTGTTGAATGGTGAGTTAAGACAGTATATATTGTAAAGCTTTAAGTTGGGCTAAAAAGGACTTGTATCCAGAGTCGAATAACATATTAATAAAAAAAAATATATTTATCCCAATAAAACAATAGGTTTACATATCGTTGATTAAATAGAAAAATGTGATTTTTCAAAATTAGAAGCTAGAATTGCCTCCTTTTATATAAGACAATTAAATTAACCACGCCGTCTTAATCATTATCTAAATACTTTTAAAATAATATATAATACTTCAGAGTAAATTTAAAACTTTAAAGGAAAAAATAATTTAAAATAGTTTAAATGTTTGTCTTGTAAAAATTTACATTTTGAATAGTGCTATTTTTCTATTTAACCGACGATATATTTTAGTTTATTAAGAATATAGAAATAAGTTATCGTGAAATGACTGTGGATTAATAACTATGGGTTGTAATGTGAAGAGGCGTATAGTGTGTGACGTACGATGTGTGATGTGGTGTGCAGGAGTCGTCGCTGATCGAGCTGATGGTGTGCTGCGTGCGGCAGGCCAGCACCGGGGAGCCGCCCGTCGGACGAGGACCCGCACGCAAGCACCACCACCTGCTGTCCAAGGACCAGGCCAAGGTAACTGAATGTACACCGCATGCGAAGGACGTGTACCACTGCCTCCTGATGCAAACCTAGCGTCCACGCACCCGACACACCGCTCCTGTGGCCTGCGGCCCGGTGCTACGCGTCGGACACCGGATACCGGACACGGGACACTTCTTGTCCGATCGCCACCGATACTAATAATACCACCTTTCTAACCTGAATAATCTGTCTATCTTTTATAACAGTTTTTATATTTATTAATCACAGATAACTAGTTTTATATTGGCTATCCAGGACTATACACTTAGTTCCGTTAAGGTATTCAACAAAGAGAGTGGTAAGAGATTTAATTACAGGTTAATTTTCACCTTAAATATAATAATACCCTAAAAAGTACATAATGATTAATATGAAGAAGTCCCGTCACATGAAACCTTTTTAAAAATAACACTCACTTTTTATATTCTTAAACGTCGCCATTTTACATCGATGGATATGATAATAATTGAATTGAAACAAAAAATATTTTAAGTAGTAATATTCCTCAAGATTTGGATAGCATAGGATTCCAGCTAGGATGAATCAGATGCATATCAGTCAGTGAATGTCGTATGTGTGCCCGCAGCAAGTGAGCGACGACCGCAGCCGCATGACGGCGCACTTCATGGTGACGCTGCCGGCGCTGCTGGACAAGTTCGGAGCCGACCCCGAGAAGCTCACCAACCTGGTCTCCATCCCGCAGTACTTCGACCTGGAGCTCTACACCACGCAGCGCCAGGAGGGCAACCTCACGCTGCTGCTCAACAAGCTGCGCGACATTGTCTCCGTGCAGACAGAGGCGGAGGTGCGACACCCTCACCCTATTCACCCTCCATACACCTACATACATATACTATTTCCGTTTAGTTACACAAAATTTTACTTTATAAATTGGAGAATATCTACAGTATGACTGCATTACTTTAGTACAATGATTCCCAAAGTGGTCTATATCAACCCCTAGGGGTCTATGACAAATTGCAAGGGGTCTAACAGTGGTCATCTTGTTGTTTTTACTTTGTTTTTAACACTAAACTTTACTACAGTTAGAAATCTATACTCTATACTGAGACTATATCTATACTGAGAGTATTACTCCCAATCTTAGTTTCACAATCCACCATATTTTTATTAGTCTTTAATAATTAGCGCCATCTATTGGAAGTCAATAAGAGAGTAATTGAGGCAGGGGCGGATCGTGAATTTGTAGGGCCCTGGGCTAAATCCACTTAGGGGCCTACCTAATTATATTACTCAACTAAAAATATACTGACCAAAAACAAGCGACCAGAGATTCCCCGTTCCTTTCCGGTTGATTGTTGATTGATCTCAGGGTTGCCAACCTTACGATAGGTTTTTTAACATTCAATATTGTTTTTTTATATTCTAAATATCGTTTCTGTGATGACTGGGGATCTTTGCATCCTCGGGCCCTGATCCGCCCCCGAATCGAGGTTTTATAACGCGCGTAAAGACAAAGTATAAAGGGATGGTAAGTAAGTATTGGTTTATACATATAGTTGCAAGTGCGGTATAGTGGGATGTGACGGTAGGTGGTGGAGACGTGCGGTCGCACGCTGGAGTGGCTGTGCGGCGAGCAGGGCGGCGTCTACACGCGCTGCAACGTCGCCCGAGCCACCATCACCGACATGTGCGTCAACCGGTACAAGGTACGCACGCACGCACACTATCTTTATCTCTATTACGTGCCCGATTCCAAACACTTCTATTTAATTGGAGGAAATCTCTGTGTGACGTTCATACGATGTAATTAATGTATGTACACGTAGATGTTTATAGGGTCTAATCAAAATAAAAAAAAATAATGTAAGGCTATAGATAAATTCTTTATTCACAATTACAGACACATAACATACATGAGATACAGAAAAAACTAGAATTAATAAAAGAAATGTAGGTGGCTTTATGTGCCGCAAAAGTGAAAAGGCAGACAACTCAGCATAATGCTACAGATAACTCTGCAGCGCTGATATTCTGTTGGCTCCTTACTTATACTATACTTATTACTAAAGAAATACATAAATATGAAACTTCGAGCTGTTTATCAAAATATATAAACTTTAATAAACTGTAAATAATATGATGAACTATATCATTAAACTACTTATACTGCATAAATACTATAACAAGGATTACACATATATTGATGTGGTGAAAGGCTCCGCGAGACTGATGATGACGAAGATGATGGAAGACAATGCTTGCGGACTAAGTTGGGTAATAAAGCTCCTTATAAAAATACCTTTTCATTATCTTATATATAAAATTCTCGTGTCACAGTTTTCGTTCCCATACTCCTCCGAAACGGCTTGACCGATTGTCATGAAATTTTGTGAGCGTATTGAGTAGGTCTGAGATTCGGCCAACATCTATTTTTCATCCCCCTAAATGTTAGGGGTAGTCCACCTTTAATTTTTTTTTTATTTTAAGGCAAAACAATGTTTGCCGGGACAGCTAGTAACTATATATATTCTAGTGTGTGCATGTTACGGAGTTTACATAATTTCAACAGAGATTTTCGAAATTAAAATGAACAGTGTCTAAATCATTATGCTGATCATCAAGCATAATTTTGAAGTCTCAAGTTCATCCCTTCTTTTTATATATTATGTTTATATGATTTCCTCTGCAAATATTGAACTAGTTTCGATATTGGCGATGTGTGTATGTATGTGTAATGTGTGTACTGAGCGTGTGAGGCGTGTGGCAGGAGGCCATCGACGAGTACCGTTCGCTACTGGAGGGCGGCGAGACACCTGATGCGGACGAGGTGTTCGCGGTCGAGAACTCGCTGCGGAAGGTCTCCATCATGTACATGTGCCACAACCTCAACGATACCAATATATGGGACTCGCTCTTCGAGGACCTGCCCAAGTGCATCAAGCAGAACGAGTCGCAGATGCCGCCACAGGTTCATATTATTTCTTTACGTAATCCAACTTAAACTTACCAGTCCTAAACCTAAATGGTAAAAGGTTACCCTTATTATTTGGGTTTATCAATTCATTGATGCATTTTTAAGTCAATAACTTTGTCAATCTTCATTTCTACATACAGGCCACTAGATAGATAGATAGATAGATAAAAATAGATAAAAATTTTATTCACGTTAAAGGCACTAGTGTTTATTAATTAATACAGTTATGGTATTTATTGTCTATGTCTTCAAAATAAAAATTACTGTGGTATTTTTGGTATTTGCTGTGTTATACGGGCTTTTCAGACAATGTTCATTCCTAAATGTAGTAATATGACCTTAGATTGTACTGACATTATCATATTTTTTTATTTATGCTTTAAATAAATAAATTATGAAGATTTTTAGAGATTCTGCATGGTAGTTTATGTACACGGTAGATAATTAGCGTACTATGTTGTTTTAATGGGGACCAGTGGATTTTACTAAGAATCTCATCCTTTAGTTTGAGATAGTGATGATGTTAGCATTTGTGTGTATTAACATGGTGTGGTGACCTGCAGGCGCTGGTGTACGTGGTGCGCGCGTGCTTCTACTCCGTGGTGTGGTCGCTGCACGAGCTCGAGGAGCGGCTGGTTGCAGGCGGAGGAGCAGCTGATGCTCTTTCACAGTTGCACGACCGTCTGCACGGGTTTGTATTGACACTTGTAACACACGTCTGCTGCCACTCGGTGGTGTGGTTGCTGCACGGTCTGGAGTATCGGTTGTGATGTACTGAAGTTTTTCAATAGATATCCTTTTCATTTGTCTACTGTTATGAAATTTGATTTAGATATTAAAAGGGTTTTTTAATTAAGTATTCTTCAAAAGAATATTCTCGGGTATAGTTTTCCATTTTAAATTGTTGAGGGAATCTTTTATAGATACAATTATATATATTGTGCATGTATATCAGAAAGTGATATCGAGTCCGACATGCCCGATAATTGAGGGTATTATAGTTGGAGATTGGTAGGTATCTATGTATCACGAAATTAATGGTAATAGTAATATATATATATATTTTATATATTGACGTCGTATTCCAATCTTTAAAAAATAAAGTCGATATACGAGCAAGTATGAATATCTTTCAAAACCCTTTCAATGGGTTACATATGGGAAACCCATTGAAAGTGCTCGTAAGTAATGAACGAAGCGGTGACGGGCCGGGGGTCCCTTTCGACGGGTTACGTCCGGAAACCTATTGAAAGCGCTCGTAAGTAACGGACGAAGATAGCGTGGTGACGGGCCGGAGTCCCTTCCAATGTATGGGAAGTCCAAAGGAAAGCGGCGGTAATATGTAAGGTACGCGTCAGGTACATGGCGCAGTGCCGCAGCATCGTGGCGGAGGGGCGGTCGCGCGCGCTGCAGGAGGAGGCCTACAGCAGCGTGTGCGACCTGCTGGTGGTGTTCGCGGCGCGGCTGCCGCACCACGCGCCGGCTCTGCGCCGCCTCGTGCTGCTGCCCGACACCGACCTCTGCGACCTCCTCAACGCCGCCGTGCAGCGGCTCGTCTTCGTGCACCACGACTACGGTAACCGCCTCTCGCTACTCCGTACCCTACGACCACTCATTTATATATTTATCTGTATTTCGAAATTTGACCACGATTACCCTCTATATCACCTGATGTTGAGTGAGGCTGCGATGTAATCTAAACTCGAATACTGCCAATTCACCCTTGACACTACGAATACGGTAACCACGCCCACCTCTCTCCCGCAACACTCGCTACACTCATACACTATTGATGGTTATTTACTTATTTGTATTTCTAAATTTGACCGCAATCTCACCTGATGTTGAATGATGCTGCGGTGTAATCTAATCTCGAATACTACCAATTCACCCTTGACACTACAACTACGGTAACCACACCCACCTCCCGCAACACTCGCTACTTTCATACACTATCAATGTTCATTTATTTATCTGTATTTCTAAATTTGGACGCGTTTCATCGCAACCTTATTTGATGTTAAGGGGTTACATGGGTTTCCTCGGGCAAAAAACGGCCTTTTTTTCAATAATTTTTTTTACATATAAAAAATGAAATATTTTAATGATTTTTTTTTATTTAAAAGATACATATTTAATAAACATTTTGCAAAATTATAAAAAAAAAATATCAAAATGGCGGTCATTACGACGCCATTTCCGGCAGTCCCTCGGTAAAAAGGTGCCTCCGCGTTGTCAGCAGAACTTCTTTCAGGATCATCTGAAATAAAAATAAAAAATACGTGTTTTAGTAAAGACAATAAACTAGGTATTGGACGAAGGAAAAAAAAAATAAATAAAAATTGGATTTTTGGCAGACGTTTTTATAAAAAAAATGCAAATTTCTATGAAAATTTCTCGACATTTTTTTTTTAAAAATAGTTGTAAATAAAATAAAAAAAAATCCTTCGTTCAAGACCTTGTAAATGATATCTCGAAGACCTGTGTAAAATTTCATCAAGATCGGTTGAGTAGTTCGCGAGAAATCTTGACAACCGTCTTTGAAAACATAGTTTTGAGAAAAACGCGTTTAAAGTTTTAAGAGACAATAAAACAGGGTATTTTTTTTTTTTTTAACTTACATTGATTCGTCGATTCCTGGGCCATAAAGTAGAGAACCTGCTACACCTGCATTGTCCAGGGCATCCTTTTGCTCCAGTCTATGACGAATCCTGGCTTCACGAGTCTCGCTGGTACACCTTCCGTTATCTGGGTTCTAGACACTTTAACGGCATTTTTTATCGAATAAAATTCACAACAAACACTTATAACCTCAAAATGAACTTCGTAGTTTAACGAGAAATCACCAAATGAAATATTTTCCAGTAGTTTACCTTATATAAAGAAAAAAAGGGACAAGAATTACAGCTAACAATAGATGAGCTGCAGCTGCGTTTTACTTACTGCGCCCTCAGCCTATACCTGACCTCGACCGTCCACCTTTTAAAGGCTGTATCTCCGAAACTATTAGTCGGATCAACTTGAAAATTTAGGACAATATTCTAGAGATGTTATAGAATTTAATAAGACAAAAAAAAATTTTTCGATTTTTTGAAACCGTGAAACCCATGTAACCCCTTAAATGATACTGCAATGCTGCAGTCTAATATAACCTCAAATACGGGTAGTATTTGAGATTATATCAGATTGTAACACCATTCACTCTCATGAAATACTCAATGTTGTAAAAAGCAAGGAACAAATGCTGAAACAGGGTACTAAGTTTACCCTTAAAAAATGTAAAAAACTCTCAGATAATTTGATCTTCACTCGGTGGCTACCGTTCATATACACTACCGACATTGCCTACGAAGTATACCGAGCTCATATCAAATTACGCATGAAATTAAAACACAGTGGTAACACTGAAAATTTTTTATTATTTTTCTCTACTAAATTGATCAAATAATCCTATAGTTTCTATAAGTAGTTTAAAAATTCTTTACAGATTTTCACTACATAATTGACTATGAGCTTAGTATACTTTTTAGGGTAAACTCTTTATATCACAGAAAAAATGCTTAAATGAAGGAATTAAACACTTCTACACTTCACTCATGAAACAAATCAAATTTCAAATCGTCCATTATTTTAGTTAATTTAATAATATATTAAACGTGTGAATATACAGGTGTTTATTGGCAAGACTCCAGATATATTCAAGAGCCAAGAATATTGCTTCAAAGGATTGACATATACACAAAGTTAAAACTTTTAAAAAAGTAATTAAATCTTAGAATACAGCAGTTGATTAAAAACACCAGTCACAATTTATACATACTTTGTATATATGCAATCTTTTGTCATTTTTGTATAGTTATTAATTTCCCATGACATACAGTTATCTAACTCTATGTGTTCACGTTATCAATTAAATTTGATTTGTATTATGTAAAAATAATTTCATTCAACTACAGTCTTTCGTATAAAATTTTCGTGTAAATATTTTGTTCAAGTCAAATATGATAGTTTCCTGTAAAAACTGTAAACTTACATTGTTTGTTTTAAGGTACATTAAAATAAACTGTATGTCTGTCATATTTGACGTGTATATTCTCGCAATCGACGCATAGTGCTCTATGCAACTCGATTCTAATATTGGTGAAGTAAATAAATTTCTGTGTTGTGGGATTAGGTTTTTCTAAATTGGGGTGATGTGTTTTGTAGAATTCATAGCGGTCGAGTGGATGTACATGTTGGGGATTGTTCGGTTTCAAGTTCTATGTCTGTTCATATTTATACAAGTGCAATCAAATGCTGCGCGGGGCGCACGTGACGGGGATTCGTGAACGGGCTCGGTGGTGACGCACGCGCAGCAAATAATTGCACTTGTGTAGTGTCACAGTGACGTCACTGCTGCGCTCGCGACTCGTCAGTGACTGAGAAAAAATATGCATTATTCCGACACTCGGCCACCACGCCGCCGCGCCCCCGCTCCCCCGCCCTCCCCTGCCTCCTCGGCTCTCCTCGCTCCGTCGACACGTTTCTCTCCTCTTCGATTCATTCTAGTATTTATAAACGCAACTCGTCTATTCCGTCTGAACGGTTCGCGCGCGCTACAAGTGTTGGATGGTTGTCTCGCGGTAGGAGTGTTGGCGGCTCGCGGCCGGGGAGGGCGGCGCGGGGCGCGGGGCGCGGTGTGTGGTGTGGTGGGGAGGGGAGGGGAGGGATGCGATAACGGTGTGGTATGTTTGGTTGCATGTCACGCTCGGTGCGTGCGCTGCTGGTCGCGCGTCTCCACGCCGGTAAGCCCATTGGTCCGCACTCCGCAATCCGCTCGCACTAGTTCGCGTTCCCGTCGCCGCCCGCACCGCACACCGGCAGCCCCCCCCTGCTCCTTCTAGAGAGTCGCCGTCGCGCAGAAACGACCCCTACCGACGATACTGTCCGCGTCACCGTCCCGGTTTGTGGAGTGGTGACGTTCACAATATTCTCGTGTGAATGTTTCTGCGCGACCGGTGCCGCTCTGTTTGGAAGCAGTGCCGGGGATTCCCCGCGTGTGCGTGCGGTGGGCGCTCCGTCGGCGTATTTTACCTTAGTAATGGCGCGACCCACCCACACCGGCCCGACCCGGTACGATCGCTCACTTCCCGAGTTACGTTTCCGAATCCCGTTCCGTTCCGCCGGCGGTGTCCGGCGGCGTCCGGTGACGTCCGGCCGCGTCCGGCGCCCGGTGTCCGGTGTCCGGTGTCGGTGGCGGCCGCCGCGCGCCAATAATGCATATTTTTATCTCGACGCTCGTTGCGGGCGAAGCACAGTTCGGTGCATCAATATGTTCTCACCTAACATTACTAAGGGAAAATTGTCGCGCCCGCTTCATCGACCGCATCCGAAACCGACGGCGAACGACCGTTACGCACGGCTGTCATGAACGTATTTTCAGTGTTGCCAGTTAATCATTTCGCTTTCCTCCCAAATTATGCCCAGAATCCTAAAATTTAAGAGTTGAAAAAATACCTTCTGCTAGTAATGTTTGAACCAATATTATTAGCATATACCATACAGTACAGGCTTTTTTATTTAATTAAATTTACAACATATTTAATTAGATGAGTGCGATCCCGTTTTGTGTTGTTGGTTTTTGTCGCATTATGTTTACCTTACAAAAAATTCAATTAAAATTTTCTTTACCCACCAAATTCCTTCAAATATTTGTTTCTCCCAAATTATCCTCGTCGCCACTGAAACCCCCAAATTTAAGGGTATTCCCCCAATCTGGCAACACTGCGCATTTGGGACGATATTCGCTCGCGGTATCGGATCCGATATTCTTTCTTAACACTTGGAAACTTTTGTGATTTGAAGCATGCCCTGTGCAGTGTATTCAGTTGTTTCTGTTGCGTTCTGTTTCTGGACATCAATTTATTTTTACACTCACCTCTGTAACATGATCTGGTAAAGGTTTAACGTACCAATAGAATAATATTTACGGCTTCTCTACTAAATTCCGTAACAGGCTGTCTACTCTGGAGTCTAATTACAACCCAATGAAATATTGCTTATTACAAACCAATCAAATATGGGTTATTACAACCCAATGAAGTATGGGTTATTACAACCCAATGAAGTATGGGTTATTACAACCCAATGAAGTATGGGGTTATTACAACCCAATGAAGTATGGGTTATTACAACCCAATGAAGTATGGGTTATTACAACCCAATGAAGTATGGGGTTATTACAACCCAATGAAGTATGGGTTATTACAACCCAATGAAGTATGGGTTATTACAACCCAATGAAGTATTTGTTATTACAACCCAATGAAGTATGGGGTTATTACAACCCAATGAAGTATGGTTATTACAACCCAATGAAGTATGGGTTATTACAACCCAATGAAGTATGGGTTATTACAACCCAATGAAGTATGGGTTATTACAACCCAACGAAGTATTTATTATTACAACCCAATGAAGTATGGATTGTTACAACCCAATTAAATATGGGTTATTACAACCCAATGAGTTATGGCTTATATATTGTCATTGGGTTGTACACAATGAATATGATTTTTATAGTGAATTACTATCAAAATATTAAGAAAATTTATGTTTAATTAAATAATTAACCGATTTGATTGATATTTTCATTCGGTTAAGTCTTGATTTTATGTTCAGATTTGTTCAGTTTGTCGGTTATATTTTTTTTATCTTAGATTTAATTATGGACTTTTATCGTAACTAACTACTCGCCCCAGCTTCGTACGCGTGTACATGTATTATATATATATAAACATTCCTCTTGAACCACTCTATCTATTAAAAAAACCGCTTCAGCGACTTTGTTTTATACTATGTTATGATTTAATGAAAACAAAGTCGCTGTCGCTGTCCGTCCCTATGTATCCTTAAAACTTTAAAACTACACAACGGATTTTGAAGCGGTTTTTTTAATAGATAGAGTGATTCAAGAGAAAGGTTTATATGTATAATACATGTACACACGTGCGAAGCCAGCACGAGTAGTAATTGATATAGTGATTAGACTCCAGAGTGTTACGGTGGTAACTTCATCTCACTAATTGTATAAGATAATAGCTTGTTATATTTTAATAGTGGAGCAGTAGACAGTAGAGTGGTGCATGATTCATAGTAGACCTTGGCGGCACTGATTCACCACGCGTGGACTTGACTATGAATAGCGTCGGTTGTTGAACGGTGCCGCTGACTATACTCTGTGCGCTGTAGCATGGTGCGGGTGACAGTTATTAATTTTACATTTAACAATTGCAATTCAAGTTAATACAGTTATTAATGATTTTATTCATTACGAATTAGCTGTATCTAAGACTTTGTCTGCGTGGAATTTAATAAAAAAGAATTTGGAAATTTTTAAAAATAAAAGTAGCCTAAGTTGCTTCTTATTATATCAGGTACCTGTCAATAAAAGTCCCGTCAAAATCGGTCCAGCCATACAGAGATTAACCGGAAAGAACAGACAGACAGACAGAAAAAAATTGTAAAGAATGTTATTTTGGTGTATATACCGTAGTTATATTCATATGCATGTAATAAAAAACGGTTATATCAATATTACAAACAGATACTCCAATTTTATTTATATGTATAGATATATAGAATAAGACTATAGAAATAATGTCGTTTTTAAACGTGAAAAAACTGACTGTTTGTTCCGGCTAATCTCTTAAATGGCTGGAACTTTATTTATATGTATAGATGTATATGTGGTACAGCTAAAATACTAAGTCATAATTTGTAAATCGCGGCCACTTTTATGAGTGAAACGAAACGTTAACGAAACTGTCACCCGCGCCATGCTACAGCGTATATGGTATAGTTTATGAGTGGAACACTAGTGTGATGAGTTGTGAATTGAATAGCATATTTACGTACTACGTGATGTTTTATTACCTCTTATGTGATTTACACTATTCCTATTGTCTATGGATATTATTGCTATTGTAAACTACAATACTATGTCAATATATTGCTTACTAGCTGTGCCAGCGACTTCGTCCGTGTGGAATAGTGATCTTGACCAAATATAAAATTTTTTTTTAATAATTTAACCTAAAATGGGAAGGAATCCTGGATATGGGTTTAAAAATGACGATTTTCTATACAGACTTTAATCCACCATTTTTTATCCCCGTAAGGATAATAATTTTCAAACTTACTAATATTTAATGAACAGCCTGAAAAATATAGATTCTAGATTTAAAAATGACGATACTTCCATAGAACCCTTCGTCTCCCCTTTCAACCTCTTACAACCCTTTATTCGCATTAAAAAGCCTATTTTCTTTCTCAGGGTCTAGACTATCTGTGTACCAAATTTCATTGAAATCGGTTCAGTAGTTTTTAGTTTTTGCACGCAAGTCATCGGACAAGTGGTGTCGGGTGAGTACACTACACCCGCCTATTATACAGCAACAACACAAATCTTTGGTTTTGTTTTTCAACATTTTTTGTTTATATCAGTAGTTTTGGCGTGAAAGCGAGACAGACAGACAGATAGAGTTACTTATTATAATATTAGTAAGGATCAGTAAGGATAATGTTTATAAAGGATATAGTATAATTAAATACGATGATTTATGGTTTGTGATGATTATAAACACTATTTAGAATATAATTTGCAAGTTATATGGTCATTTTAATGAAATGAAATAATTTATTTGCGATACATTGGTACAGTATTATAATTAATATGATGTTACATGAAATTGATTGATCAGCAATATTTACCATACAGGCTTGCATACGTGAAGGTGTTTGTGTTACTTAAATATTCTTGGACACTAAAAAAAAACACTTGGTCAAAAAAAATGGAAGATTGTTGTATACTTTGATTGCCGTACAGTATACATTTCTCTTATGTGAGTCTAATCGACACATTGGTGTATAGGTTAGGTTAATACAAAGTTGTACCAAAATTTGTGATTTCTTAAGTATTGTTACTGTTTATAGAGAAATATAACATTTTTTGCATGTAGTAACTTATAAAAGTAATTTTAAATGTAAAGGAATAGTGTATGATAAGAGATAGCAAGAAGATGGTAATAGAAGATCACGTAGACTATCAGAGTGTGACATATGTACAGAGTGTGACCTTCAACGTTTGAAAGCTCAATCTGGAAAATTGTGTTACGATAGATAGAAAGTTTGTTTCAAATAAACTTTCGCCGTTTCTAATTAAATATTGATTCCTGCTACATTAAGAATAGAATAGAATAGAAAATTATTTATTCAAATAAACTTAATTTAAGCACTTTGGTCATTTAGTCAAGAATAAAGGTTAAGAAACTTGGCTGTAGCTCGTTTTAGACATATATATTTAATTGAATATGTTATACAAGTTTATATAAATGATATTATATTTATATATATAAATCATGACAATTCAACACATAAACTGTATTGTAGAACTCAAGTGGGGCAGAATATTACGCGGCTCTGCCCCAAACACTGCTTTACCGAGTAGAAACGACCCCCTCAAATTGTCAAACAAGACATGGACAGTAAGAAAAATCACCACTATAATTAATTAACATGTAAAAAAACAGTTACTTAGTCTTTCTCATTCTCGATCAATTTGCATTCTAATGGGGACGGAATAAAAAAAAAATATCTGCATGAATTAAGTTTATATCTATTTCTATTAATTTGCGGACCTAAAGAACTTATAGTACATAAAAGTAGTGATGCAGTTTCCAGAATGCGCACTGGATGTAAGGTTTCGACTCTGTACGTGTGTGCGTAGTCAGTGGGCGTGGCATGTAGTAACGTTATGTTACAGACGGACAAGACGAGAGACGGATCGAGGAGTTGCACAAGCGCCGCAACTTCCTGGCGGCGTACTGCAAGCTCATAGTGTACAACATAGCGCCCATACGACGCGCCGCTGACGTCTTCAAACACTACATCAAGGTATGACAACTGTCATAATAGTAGTAGAAATAGTAGAAATAATCTTTAAGATTCAAATGCGTCGTAATACAAGTATGAAAAAATAGATTAAAAATTCTAAACTTTAATCACTATATATATATATATTTGTATGATTGTTTGTATCAATCTTGGTGTTTTCAGTGTATATTACGTAAAGATTGTACAAAAAACATATCTAAGTGTTAAGGTAAGCAGAGCTGCTTACCGTAGGACTAGATGGCGCTGTGTTAATTGTCCAGGGTTATTTATAATTATATATTACTTTACAAATTCATAAAATCAAGGGATTGTTAATTAAAATATGTTATTATATTATTTCAGAATATATTCTACGATTTTATTAATTAAATATATATATATATATAGTTTAAATGACTCAATAATTACGTAATTATCTTTTTTTATATATAAAATTTTATAATTATGTAACAATGAACTCGTCCTCCAATCTTCTCTATTGGTTGCTGTGCCTTTATAAACAAATAAACCTTTAAAACATTTTGAAATATAATAGAACTAGCTACTCACCCCGTCTTCGCCCGGGTGTACATGTATTATACATATAAACCTTCCTTTTGAATCACTCTATCCATTAAAAAAAAACTGCTACAAAATCCGTTGGGTAGTTTTAAAGATTTAAGCATACCTAGACGGACGGACAGACAGCGACAGCGACTTTGATTTATTAAATTCAAAAACTTCCAAAATTCAAAAATCATTTATTCATGTAGGACATTTTAGCCGCTTATGAACGTCAAATTTTTACATTATAATTTTATTTTTCCCTACCGTCCAGTTCGGTATATACATCCAATTCAGAAGAACTGGCAAGAAACTCAATTGAATTACTTTTGTTTTTTTAAAGCCAGTTTATTTACAATTTATTTTTATATAGGTGTCTGTCTAACATTAAATGAAAATTCAGTGCATGAACATATACTATGTAGTGATGATAATGAAGTGTTCTGGTATAATTAATTGATGTTTGTTGCAGTGCTACAACGACTACGGGGATATAATAAAATCTACGCTAAGCAAGGCGCGCGAGATCAACAAGCTCAACTGCGCCCTCACCATGGAGCTGGCCATGCAGGCTCTCTTCACGGACATGCTGCAGCGGCACCAGACCCTCAACAAGCAGCTGCCGGAGTTCCTCGAGCTGAAGGTCAGACAACTGGACACTATTTTTTTACGACCTCGGTGGTCTAGCGGTTTAGCACACCGTCTTACTTCCGATGGTCGCGGGTTCGATTCCTAGCACGGTACAAACATTTATATTCATGAGTATAATTGTTTGTATTGGTTTGGGTTAGATTATTTTCTATGTATAATATGTATGTATATAGCAAAAAATATATATATCTATGTATTTGTTATCAGTTGTCTAGTACCCATAACACAAGCTTTAGCTAGCTTAACTTGGGTCTAGATGGCGCTGTGTAAATTGTCCTGAGATTATTATAATTTTGTTATTAATAATTCTGAATTGTATGGGATTAAAATTGATGTATCGGTATTTTTATCTTACTAATGATTTACTCAACCAGTTTGTTGTATATTTAACTACCTACCCACTCTGGCTTTGCACGGGTCTACATGTATTTTACATATGAACCTTCCTCTTGAATCACTCTATCTATTAAAAAAAAACCGCCTCAAAGTCCGTTGAAAGTAGTTTCAAAGATTTAAGCATATATAGTAACAGACAACGACAGCTACTTTGTTTTATACTGTGTAATGATATTTTCTCTATTTGAGTATTTCATTGAATTAGTGCTAATTGGTTGTTTGTATTCACACACTTCAACTTAAAAATGTAAAGTAACAATAAAATTATTTAAAAGTGCAACAAGCAAGTTTCTTGCTCGTTCTTCATGTGGTGAGACAGCTTACCGAATGAGCGGTAGATTGAAAAAAATGTGATGACTATTCAAAAATGCTTCAATGTAAGTTTATTTGAATAAATGATTTTCTATTCTATTCTATAAACGCTAAAATTTGTGTTACGGTTACTTGTAAATTTCAATTTCAATAAAAAAAAAAATCTAAATTCAAAATATTATTATTAATGTAGGTCTATTACAGACTCTTATGATATGTCAAATCTACCGTCAGTTCGGAGTGATTTCGAGATGAGAAGAACTGACAAGAAACTCAGCTCGTATTCTTTTCTTCTTTTCACTACGACCGATTTAATCTTATTGTGTTTTTATATTTGAGCCTAATTAAATTAGTGCTTGTTGGTAGTTTGTATACACACGTTTCGATTTGTAAAATGTGAACTTACAAGGATTGTTTAAAAGAGCAACACACAAGTTTCATGCTTATTCTTCTTGTGAGCTTTCCGATAAGCGGTAGATTTAAAAAAAATTGTTGACTATTCAAAAGTGCTTAAATTTAGTTTATTTGAATAAATGATTTTCTATTCTATTCTATTCTTTCAAATAAATGTTATACATGTTTACAATTTACAATAAACAAGTTGTGCTTAATTCAAACACAAAAACTACTGTGTTTAAGTACCTAAGATTATTATGCTTCAATTTGTGGGGCATTTGATATATTACAACGAATATATGTAACAAAATATGTAGAATAGAAACAAATTGGTCATGTCGCGAAACCCCATCGTAAATACAAGGTCACCAATCAGGAGCAACATGCCAAATAATGTTTAATACACCCGGTATTCATTTATACATATAAATAAAATTGTAGTGTCTGTTTGTAATATTGAAATAACCGTTTTTTACTACATGCATATGAAAATAAATGCCCTGGTGTTGCGGGTACTTTGGGCGACGATAATCACTTACCATCAGGTGTACTGCCACAAGTTTGCCCCTTATTCTATCAAAAAGTCTTCAATAGTATTAATCTATACATATAAATAAAATTGTAGTGTCTGTTTGTAATATTGAAATAACCGTTTTTTACTATATGCATATGAATATAAATACGGTACATACACCAAAATGTAATTTTTTTACAATTTTTGTCTGTCTGTCTGTTTGTTCCGGCTAATCTGTGAAATTGCTGGAAAAATAAAGTTAAAGTCCACGCAGACGAAGTCGCGGGAACAGCTATTATATAAATAAAATAGGAGCGTCTGTTTGTAATATTGAAATAACCATTTTTTCCTACAAGCACATGAATATAAATACGGTACACACACCAAAATGACATTTTTTACAATTATTTTCTGTCTGTCTGTTTGTTCCGGCTAATCTCTGAAATGGCAGGACCGATTTTGACGATTTTTTGGCAGGTAGCTGATGTAATAAGGAGTAACTTAGGCTACTTTTATTTTAGAAAAATAAAGTTAAATTCCACGCGGACGAAGTCGCGTGTACTGCTAGTGTTAAATAATTTTCCCTGCCGTCTGTTACAACCGAACTGAGCAATGACCTCAATATGAAATGTATGAAAAAACAGCTTTTGTTATTACGCTAACGAGAGGTATTCATCGTCCTTATTACTTGATGGTTAGTGTTTATCCACGACTCATGAGTTTCGTATGTTCTACTATATCTTATTTAATAATCGTAATCGTGTCGCAAAAGATCTGGGCGTGCTTTTTGATGACAAACTAACATTTCGAGACCACTATGATAACATTGTTGACCGTAGCTACCGTCTTCTTGGGTTCATTACAAGATCAACTAAAAACTTTCGGCAGAGTAGAAGCTTAATTAGTATCTATTACTCACTCGTACGTAGTATTTTAGAATATAACTCGGCTATCTGGTCTCCCTTCTATAGACTACATAGCAACCGAATTGAAAGTATTCAAAGACGTTATTTAAAGATACTTAGCTATAGATGCGGCTTAGGTCGTAAACTTGCATCTTACAGTGAACGTCTGAAATACTTTAATCTGGACCCTTTATATATAAGACGACAAAATAATGACCTAACCTTGTTACATAAAATTATTCATCATCAGTTGGACTCGTCCACTCTTCTTTCTCTATTAAACTTTAATACGAGATTTAGATCACGCAACCGTAATTATAACACCTTCCATCTTCAGGTTTACTCAAATAATACTTCTTATTATAATCCAATAGTTCGAATGTGTCGCCGATACAATGAAATTCTTGTCTCGAATAGAAATATAGATATTTTCCATTCAACGCTGATCCAGTTCCGGAGACAATTAAATTTCCACCGTAAAGAGACAAATTATATTTAACATTGTACCAATTTTCTTTTCTTTAATATAAATAAAATTCTGTTAACATGATAATTCATTGCATTACGTAGTTATATATCATTTTCTATTTAGTTTACTTTTTATTATATAACCTTATCTAATTATCTAGCGTATATTGAATGCGTCTATATAATTTAGCTCTTAGGCATACATAGTGTTGGATTACAATCCAGTTCTGTACCGAACTACACGCTCCTATTATATTATTATATTGACTGTAATCTGTTTTGTATGCTAATAAATAAATAAATAAAAATAAATAAATATTATAAACGCCGAAAGTTTGTGAGCATGGATGTATGTTGGTTACTCTTAGTAACATAGCTAATAATCAGAATAACGTATAGGTTATGAATTTTATGCGGATGAAACTACGGGCATAGCTTAATACGTACACGTAGGAGAAACGGAAAACTGATAAATCTTTTTTTTAAATTATTATAATTTTGTACTTATTCGTATTTGTGGTATTGACATCTAAATATATATAACTCAAAGGTGACTGATATAGTGATCTATCAACGCACAGCCCAAACCACTGGACGGATCGGGCTGAAATTTAATAATAATAATAAAGATATTTATTCAGCATTACAGTATTCTTAGATGCTATTTATCTTATATACTATACAACTTAAAAGCTAAAAGCTAAAACTAGTAACGCTGAATGTGACTCCCACTCAGCATTTATACTGCAGTATATATATACCACAGTGCTGATTTTCAGTGGGGCCACCACACACGAGAGAGCGTACGTAAATATTACTAGAGAAAATAAAACGTTAAAATTAAGACCATTTCATAAATAGGTATGAAAATGTATGTAAAGATAAATGCAATTTTAATTAATGTATGTAGTAAATTTTGTATATTATTTAAGTAGGTATATTGTTATGTAATGAGATAATTTATTATAATAAAATTTATTAATAATATTTAAATATATAACTTTGGCATGATAAAAAATTTAAATTAAAATATTTAAATTTGGCATGCAGGTAGATGTTATGACGTAAGCATCCGCTAAGAAAGGATTTTCATTATTTCTACCCCCAAGCGGATAAAATAGGGGATGAAAGTTTGTATGAAACATTGTCAATTTTAAATCGATCGAGCTGAGACTTTGCATGCATAGAGCTACTATGACGTAGGCATCCCCTAAGAAAGGATTTTGATAAATTCCACACCTAAGGGAATAAGTTAACGCGAGCGAAGCCGCGGGCAAAAGCTGGTTATAGCATATACTTCTTTATCATCATCATTACATAGTATAAAACAAAATCGCTGTCGCTGTCTGTCCGTCCCTCGGTATGCTTAAATCTTTAAAACTACGCAGCGGATTATAAAGCGATTTTTTTAATAGATAGAGTGATCAAGTGATTTTGATGAATTCCACCCCTAAGATAATAAATTAACGCGAGGGAAGCTACAGACAAAAGCTAGTTAGTATATATATCTTGTAAGTAGTGTATAGAGAATCAACCGGCTTTCTATACATTCGTCGATTAAATAGAAAATTGACATTGTTCAAAATTAGAAGCTAGTATTGCCACCTTTTATATAAGTAAATTAAATTAATCACGCCGTCTTAATCAGTATCTAAATTCTTTTAAACTGATATATAATACTTTTGTGTAAATATAAAACTTTGAAGGGAAAAAATAAATTTAAAAACTTGTAATATCTTGTCTTGTAAAAAATGTACATTTTAAATACTGCCATATTTTTTATTTAACCGACGAATATGGTAATATGCTAATGTTTTTATCTGCTGCTAAGCTAATGGTTTACTACGCTGGCGGGGCACTAATGGAAGACAATAATATTAGTATGAGGTCGGCTTAGTTAGCCATAGTAGTAAATTCATCAGGAATTTATCACGATGGTTTCTAGAGGGAACAGTGTGGAGGTCGTAGCAATTTCTTCCTCCCTTCCCCTGCTCCCATTGGATCAACTTCTCTACTTAGAGTGGACTTAAATAGCAAGGGCTCAACTTGTATTTGGAGCGGGCTGAATAGTAACGACGCACGTGTGACTGCAGGAGCTGGCGAAGCGGTTCGCGGTGATGTTCGGGCTGGACGCGGTGAAGAATCGCGAGGCGCTGACGGCGCTGCACCGCGCCGGCATCGCGTTCGCGGCGCTGGAGCCCGGCCGCGCGCCGCCGCCGCACCTGCTGTTCCTGGAGCCCCTGGCGGAGTTCTCGGGCAAGCTGCTGCGGCAGGACAAGCGGCAGGTGCTCAAGGTGAGCCCCCTCCGCTACAGGAGACGCCGCACCTGCTGTTCCTGGAGCCCCTGGCGGAGTTCTCGGGCAAGCTGCTGCGGCAGGACAAGCGGCAGGTGCTCAAGGTGAGCCCCCTCCGCTACAGGAGACGCCGCACCTGCTGCTCCTGGAGCCCCTGGCGGAGTTCTCGGGCAAGCTGCTGCGGCAGGACAAGCGGCAGGTGCTCAAGGTGAGCCCCCTCCGCTACAGGAGACGCCGCACCTGCTGTTCCTGGAGCTGAAATGAAAATTAACATTGCTGATCATACTAAAACACAAATTCTCTATTTAAATATGTGCTCATTAAAATGCCTTCATATAGAATAACCGTTACAGATATGTTGGACTGTATCGTTTTTTCTGTGTGATACCACTCACCGTCGAGAACGTGCTTAATGTGGTGTTTGTTGGCAGTTCCTGGACTCGCGCATCCAGCACTCGGTGCAGTGGGGCGAGGAGTGGGCCCCCCTGACGGCCTACCGCAACTCGCTGCTGACGGACTCCCCCGACGAGCGCCCGCCCCCCGCACGCAAACACTACGCGCGCAGGCACCGTACGTACCCCGCACACCCCCCGCACCCCACGCACCCCACACTACCCCACACTACCCCACACTACCCCACACTACCGCAACTCCCCCGACGAGCGCCCGCCCCCCGCACGCAAACACTACGCGCGCAGGCACCGTACGTACCCCGCACACCCCACGCACCCCACACTACCCCACACTACCCCACACTACCGCAACTCCCCCGACGAGCGCCCGCCCCCCGCACGCAAACACTACGCGCGCAGGCACCGTACGTACCCCGCACACCCCACGCACCCCACGCACCCCACGCACCCCACACTACCCCACACTACCCCAAACTACCCCACACTACCGCAACTCCCCCGACGAGCGCCCGCCCCCCGCATGCAAACACTACGCGCGCAGGCACCGTACGTACCCCGCACACCCCACGCACCCCACACTACCCCACACTACCCCACACTATCCCACGCTACCCCACGCTACCCCACGCTACGATAGTCGTAACAAATTGCTAGTTTTTGAACATACTACAATAATATTTTAATAATAACTTGTAACTATATGTAATAGATGGGAATGGATTACTATTCTATGAAATATCAAATAAACTTTCTCGTGACATATATACAATCGAAATAAATACGCTACCTCATGTAGTGACATCAGTCGAATAAATGAGATTATATGTATGTATGGGATTGTATGAGATGAGAGCAGTGGAAGAGAATGACACGCTGCGCGGACCCCAAATAATGGGATAAAGGCAAGGCAATGATGATAATCTTTATTAAATAAATAAGAAAAGAATACAAATGTTTGCACCATCGAAATCGAGACCGACGGAACTAAAACAGAGTTTTGTATGGTAGTGTCAAAATGATCTAGCACGCATAGTGCGGCCTGACCATCGGGACCGTGAATTTAAGGCAGGTATTTGACACACGTAGTCTTGAATACTTAAGAGTGTAAAGGTGACGTGGCTGCAACGTCACACCACGTCACACGTGGCGAGTGGTTCCCCGGCCTCGGCCTCGATGCGAGAGTAATCCCTCATTAGTATGCCTCACTCGTAACTCCAGGCGGTTTCACTCGCGCCGGTGACGTGGTTCGATGCCCGATGATAAGATACGGCCTCGTTATGAATATTGTATTTGGGACCGTCCCTTGGACTACGACTTGTTGGGCACGTAGTCGAAATTGTGTTTTACGTGAACGATCACGTTTAATGATGTCATTTGTCTATTATTCTGAAGAATTGCTAAACTGTGGCAATGGGTAGGGCATATAGCTTGTAGGACAGATGGCCGTTGGGGTAGAAAAGTCCTCGAGTGGCGACCGCGGACCGGAAGACGCAGAGTGGGAAGGCCTCCAGCAAGATGGACCAACAATCTGGTCAGGATCGCTGGAAGGCGTTGGATGCGAGCAGCGCAGGACCTATCGTCGTGGAGATTGTTGGAAGAGGCCTTTGTTCAGCAGTGGACGTCTTCCGGACTGAAATGATATGATATAAATTAAAATTGCTATTAAAAATAGGGGTTGGTGATAGAAAGGAGAAAATTTAGGGTTATATGTATTTTTAATGCCACATTATAAAAAAATAAATTAAAAATTTTTTGATCAAATAATAAAAAATATATTAGGAGTAGACAACCCTTATCATTAGGGGTTTGACAAATAGTAATCGATTCTCAGGCCCACTGAATATGCATATAAAATTTCCTAGAAATCTGTCAAACCGTTTCGCAGGTGTATGGTAACTAACATGACACACAACAACACGAGAATTTTATAAGATTATTTTCCATACATAGTGTGTGTATCACAAAGGACATGTTTATGTACAGGTGGACATGAGGAAGACGAGGGCGAGGAGAATCCCGATTCAGACCAGGAGCACCCAGGGTGAGCGACTCCAGACTCCACATCTTACAGCGTCACCAGCACTCCCATGTAAACACTTTAGTACTTTGTCACATCGACCGTTGTTGATTGCCAAACGTTTTTATATATTTTTAATAATTTGTTATTGTGACAAAGTACGAATCTGTTTACATATTACTCGACCCCTACTATTAGTATCATATTTCGAGTCTAATACCAGGAATTATTAATGAATACTGAACATGTACTGTACTGAACTGTTTAATTAAAATGTACAAACGAATAAGACATCGGACAGTACACAAATGTCAAAGAGATTGGTCAGTATTGCCATCATATAAAATGGAATTATGATTGCCAGCTATTAGAGTGTACATATGTCGTAACCGAAGCGTAGAATTGATCATTAGATTTTTTTTAAATTACGTGCTATTAATTTTGTAAATAAATTAATTATTTACGTTTGAAGGTATAATGAATTTGACAGAGCTATTATAAATAGTGTCAAATACTGTAATTATATTTTAAAGTCTTTATTTACCTTTAGACGTGCTAGTAGTGCATATTTATACATATAGAACGTTACAGACGAATAGACAATCGACAAAATATTAAATATGAAATCATATTGCCAGTAATAATTTATTAAAATATACGACGATTTTACTAAATAATGGATTGCTTTATAATATGATAAATTCTACGATTTGTACATGACATATATGTCAACTTACACGTGAGGAGTCAATCTATCTTCCTTCTCTTCTCTTTACAATCGAGTTCAGACTCATTGGAAGTAAGTAATTTAGTGGACATGTCAACTGTTGTTTTCTCCACAGTATCAACAATTGACAGGGTTTCTATCTGATGGAGATATTCAGTAGATTATATACAACAGCAAATATAATTTATTCTCGATCTGATTCAGTTGCACGTTACATATCAACTGTTACTTAGCAACATGATTACTTATTTTAAATGTGATGCACTGGACTTTTTATCTAAAATTAAATGTGTCTAATACTATCCACCCCATCTGCTGTAATAGTTTTGAAGGTATATATTTTATATATTTAATATAATTTTATTCATTCTAATATGAATATTTATATATTGTTTCTTTTCTACAATCTGAACTGTAATTCCGTAATCAAATCAATACAAAATATCTTTATTCGTGTACATCAACTCTTATGATATGTCAAATCTACCGTCAGCATGTAATTGCTTTAGAGAGATTCGATGTTCGAACTGATAACTGACTATTACCCCTTTATTTATAAAGAATTACAAACGTGTAACACCCCTCCGATCGATCCTCCGTCCAATTCAAACGGGGATCCATATTACGACGGCCTGAGCCGAGGTTCGAACCCCTAGTGGCGTCCTCTGACTAAAATCGTATCCGTCAGTAAGGAGTTGGCCTTCAGCCGCTCCATAAGTCCTTCCGCGGGTTTGGAGTGCCATCTGCACTCGCCCCCTAATGTCCGGTGAAGCTGTAAAGGCCAGCTGCGGCCAACAGCATTAGAGTAGTCCGAAAAAAAAAACGTGTAACAAACCTACTGTTATATCCTTTTCTTCCCAACAATTATTTAAAATGAAAGTAAGTTTTAAATTTTATGCGATTCATATTTAAACATACAATTAGAAAAATCACGGGATTTTACCACATTTTATTTCTTTTATGGGCAGACATATTCATTTACCTTCACAAGTCTTTGTTTGTTGCTACTATTGAAAAACGAGTTAAGATCCCTAGATTTTTAATAATTGTATGTAGAACTAATGTTTTTATTTTTTATGATTACTGGGGTACAATTCTGTGATGTAAATTTAATACTAATATAATGTATGAACACATTATTACATACATTATGCTGTATGGGTTGTAATATCGAGTTGCAACACGAGCAAATCAAAGGATCTTATGAATAATGATCTTATTTGTTTTACATGAAATATAAATAAATGTAATCCTATTTGTTAGTCCATAACACACTGAATAATTACCTTTTACGTATTTTTTAAAAACAAAACCAGAACTGAAGAATCATGTTTATGACAAAATTGTTAAGTCATAATGAATTCATATTTTGTTAAAACTAATTTATTCGTACGTCCAATATCAATAAACGTACTTTCGCATTTTTAATTATTCCCCTGCGATCGATCCTCTGTTAAATTCAAACGGGGAACGAAATTATTACGGCCTGAGCCGAGATTAGTACCCCCAGCGGTGCCCTCAGATTGGCGTCGTATCCGTCAGACGAGAGTTGGCCGCTCCATAAGTCCTACCTTCCATTTGGAGTGCCATTTGATCTCGCCCCCTATCATCCGCTGAAGCTGTAAAGGCCAGCTGCGGACAAGAGCTTTAGAGTAGTCGAAAAAAAAAATATTTTTGATTCGTTTAATACATTTTTAATAATAATTTATTGCGTATAATTATCATCGAGACTATAATAGTTTAAGGTCCTTTGGTTGCTCGTATTGATAACTTGACTCAATCAAACTGGTGACTATGTTTGTTGTATTAAATTGTGTAATAGTAAGTAGATGTAATGTAGTTAGTAAGTAGTTAGTTATTGTGACATTTGAAAGAGTAATGGCTCATGGAACTTGATTTAACTGTATGGTTGGTTGATGTGAATGTAATGGTGGGGATTATATATATATCGCAAAAAACTGGCAACACAGGTAATGTTAATATTTATATTATATACTAGCTGTGTCTGTGTGTAAAGCAATTCTTAAAATTGTAACCATCTATAATCACTAATTTTAGAAATTGAATTTAACATTGAGTTGTCTATGCTTCTTTATGGTTTATATATATAAAAAAATTACACATTCCAACTTGTCACACATGTGTTTATATATAACATAAGAGAGGAAGGGACAGTTACAAGATTTTACAATAACATAAATAATTAATTCCTATTTATATAATATTAATTATTATTTTAATAATTGTGATTGGTGTGAGGTGATGAATGACCCCACGATAAGAGTATGGTGTGATGTGCATGAAAACAGTTACGTGGGCTGTTACTCTGAGGATATAAAATAAATAAATCGTTGTCAATTTGTTATGGACATGTAATTTGTAGTTATTATATATGTATTTTTATAATAAATGAAATTTTCATTACATTTGTAGTTTGTTTAATAACCATATTTATTATTTAGTTATATTTCATTTAACAATAATTATTATAACATATAATATATTATATATGGCGTAGTTTTTTTATAGGTGATATATCAAAACCGGTTTATCCGTTCCAATCCGGCTCGAAGGATCAATGTTCGGGTTGTACCCAAACTAAAAAAAACTGATGAATATTAATGAAAATTATACTATACGTAACAGTTTAATGTATAGTATCATTTTCATTCATTAATTTAAACTAATTATGATGAATGAATGACTATGCACAGCGTTCTTAATTACTAAACGAGAACTCATTTTGAGACCGGTGAAATATGAAATATTAAAGATGTAAAGGTGGACCGACGATCTGGTCAAGATCGCTGGAAGGCATTGGATGCGAGCAGCGCAGGACCGTTCGCGTGGAGATCTTTGGTGGAGGCCTTTGTTCAGCAGTGGACGTCTTCCGGGCTGAGATGATGATGATAATGATGAAATATGTAAAGTACTAGTACAGTTTCATGAGTACACTACTGATCGCAAAAGACTATCACCAGGACTCGGTTCGTGCTAGCGATGAAAACGCTATAAAAGTTACACGTGGAGTTTCAAAGGCTTATTTCTTCGAAATTACTGATCATTCTGAAATAATACTTAATTTTTTTTTGGTTGGGTTTTGCGTACCCTGATGGGGAACTACTACTACACGGAGTGTCGTCCCGAAGTGAATTTCCCACACCGTGCCCCCTCTTTGTGAGATTAATAATTTATATATTTAAAAAAATGTCAAATACGCGGGTAATATCTGGTATTGAATAGTTTTGGTTCTGAATTAACAATCAATTACGTTTGTAGGGTTCAGTGCAAGATTTAATTTAAAAATCCGAGGTAATTCTTTTGGCTGTCCCTGTGAAGGACTGATGGAAGATCGTCGAAGGTGGCGGGAGCTCCACCGACAAGAGCACAGCTCTTAAATTATGAATGAATGAATGAATGTGTTGTATGTTGTACGTCGTGTATGGAGTGCCTTCTTAAAGTTTTTTTCTCTCTGGTGATGCTATAAACACCGTCCACAGTCTTAGGAAAAGTAGTATCTGCAAAAGGTAATTAGAGGAGTCATGTTATGTATATAAAGCAGGAGTTGTGTGTAACAGCAGTTGGGTTTCTCTGTAAACCCCATAAGAGACTTGGAGTGTGTAGTGATGTGCCGGATTGTCAAAAACGTAGATCCGCGGATACGGATATTTGGTGTCAAGATACAGATACGGATATGGATCTTAACGTTCTTACACAATCGATGTCGCAATCTTGAGTTGAGACATTTTTCGACCAGCATTACGCAGCGGGTTTTTCTTTTGTTATAGTTTAATGTATTTTTTAAGTTCCTTTAATTGTCATTGTGATTCTAATCTAACATTAACACTGTATATGCCACGGTGTACTAGTTTACTTGATTATTATATATTATGAAAATAATTTAAATCGAATTTAAAATATCACGAAGATCTATGTTTTGTTTTCTTAATAAAAAGTGATCTTATAACTTTTTATAATACTGAACTCGTAAAAAAATTAAAAGGTAAATAGATCCATAAAAGATCCGTCAAAACGTTACGGATACGGACGCGGATACGGATCTTGATTCTGCCTCGGATATCCTCGGATACGGATACGATATCCGGCACATCACTAGTAGTTACATATTATTAAATAATCAAAAACAATTGCAGATATAATTATAATAATAATGCTGGACAACTCACGCAGCAACGTCCAGTCCTAAGCTGAGCAGGGCTTGTGATATGTGTAGTAGACAACTGTTATAAATTAAAATTCATACATAATATACCTATATAGAAAATGCCCCGACGTAGACAAGGATAATTTTCAGCAATATGCAGAAATGAATTTTTGCTACTTAAGTTCTTTACTGCCATTTGTAACGTTTAATGTAACGTATTAAAAATGTACACACTGTTGTACATTTTTAATACGTTACATTAAAAATTAAAAAAAAAGTATTAATAAAGCCAAAAAGGTTGCACCAGCCGTGGTCACGGCTGACTGGAGTAGCAGCGATGTCAATGTAGATAGGTGACAGCAGTTTTTTCATCTACCGTCACTAGATTGTTTAACGAAAGTTCGCGACACACAGCACTCACGGTATCCGTACACTTATTGACTGTTGATGCTACTGAACTTTGCTTGAATTTATTTATGACTGGATTCCACGCAGATGATAATTTTAAGCCATCCTCTCTGTTGAAATTGGGATGTTTTTTAATTTCAATCGCCTCCCGGACCATTCGTGGGTAATAGTGGCGATCAGTAGAGAGGACCTTAGGCGCATGTAGTTCAATCCAGTGATTTGTTTCAGCGTTTATTTGCCATAAAATTATTTGTGTTAAGACCCGGTTAATAATTTTAATAATGTATATTAAACACGAAAGTTTAAAATTAACTAAAGCCAAAAAGGTCTACGACTCAGACGGGTATAATAATTGTATATCGTTTCAACAGCACGCGGAGAAAGCGCCGGAAGATAGACCGACCGACCCCCTCCACGGACACCACGCCCAGGTAACCACCAATACTACAGTCAGACTCGACAATGTCGTTTTGTACTGCTCATTTATACTGTAAACAAAATTTATTGTCTTTCAATTTTATATTGGTCATTGGGCTCCCTAAAATATAGTCGAGCGCAGTGATGGCTGGCTTATCCGTCATACTCGTGAATGAGTGCGGCTTGTAGGGACTGGTCTGCTCTTATCACTACGACTGATTTAATCTTATTGTGTATTTATATTTGAAACTAAATAAATTAGTGGTAGTTAGTAGTTTGTATTCACACATTTCGACTTGTAAAATGTGAACTTACGAGGATTATTTAAAAGAGCAACACACAAGTTTCTTGCTTATTCTTCTTGTGATGAGACAGATTTCCGAATAAGCGGTAGATTAAAAAAAATTGTTGACTATTCAAAAGTGCTTAAATTAAGTTTATTTGAATAAATGATTTTCTATTATTAATGAAATTGCCCACAAGACGCTAAGTGGTAACCCGCTGCCTATATGTACCACATACATATACAGCACCATACACGACGAGATCATGTGACCCTTATGGTATTCTCATGGTTTGCCATTTCGAAGAACCAAGATGTCTCACTACACTAATTTTAATGCTCAGCGTTAAATTTAAGATTATTTTCTATGTAACTAATAAAATTTTCTAAAATGAAAGTTGCCTAAATTACTTTTTATAACATTAGCTATCTGCGAGTGAAAATCCCGCTAACTCTATCCAGCCATTGGAAATATTAACAAGAACAAACAGACAGGCAAGAATGAATGCTCAATGCATCAAATATTAATTTTAAGATTTCTTAAAAAAAAATATATATTCTAAACACATTAAAAGTGCATAATAAGTTCCTTCTACCTAAAATATCTTATGAAGTAATTGTTTACAGATATGTCTAACGTTTTTTCATGTAAGATGTATGTATGTAAATACATGTTCTATTATAGTAAAAAAACTACCAATATATTACAGCTTTCACACCACAAACAACTGACTTCAATTGGATTGAACCCCAAGCTAGTGTAATAATAAACCTGGACATATCAAATCGTGACAAAAAGTCCGTTTGACTATATTAGTAATGTGTTACTGAACATGAAAGTATAAAAATAACTACTGTTTAACTGTGTTATCTAACCTGTTGTAACTAAGCATGAACTTTCCAGCAAGAGCAGCTACAGCAGTGACACGAGCGTGGCTGCAGCCCCCCGCCGCAGCTTGAGGAACAAACATCAGGTAACGGTAAACACCACCCGCCTGTGACCGTCACTTTACACCTCACACCACACGCCTGTGACCGTCATCACACACCACCAGCCTGTGACCGTCTCCACACACCACTCACCTCTGACCGTCATTATACACCACACATCACCCGCCTGTGACCGTCATCACACACCATACATCACCCGTCCGTGACCGTCATCATACACCACACACCACCCGCCTGTGACCATCACCATACACCACATCATCCGCCTCTGACCGTCGTCATACACCACACACCAACCAGCTCTGAAGTCAACAAACATCACCCGCCTGTGAAGTCACCACACACCACCCGCCTGTGACCGTCATGACTCATCACACACCACCTACCCGTGACCGTTACCACACACCACCTACCCGTGACCGTCACCACACACCACCTGCCCGTGACCGTCACCACACACCACACACCACTCATCTCTGACTGACATCATACACCACACATGACCCGCCTGTGACCGTCATCACACACCACCCGCCCGTGACCGTCATCATACACCACCTACCACCCGCCCGTGACCGTCATCATACACCACCTACCACCCGCCCGTGACCGTCACCACCGCATTGTTTCATCATTGCCTTATCTTTATCCCTTTATTTGTGGTTGGCGCAGTATATCTTCCACTGATACCTATCGGCCGGAATTTCTGAGCATATTGTCCTTTTATACATCTTTCACACATTCCATTTATTCTTTCCATCCATCTACATACATACAGGAAGTTCGGTTAGGTTGAACTACAGAATGTATCTATATTAATGTGACCCATTTTAATTTGTGTTTTATGTATGTACAGATGCGACAGTAGCCAGCAAGCAACTGATTACGAGTTGTCAGCGCTTAGCGGCATGGTAACGGTACCATTACCACTGAAAGAAATAACTCTATTTTCGTATATGTGCTTTAAATAATTATATATAGTGTTGTACCTACTTGAAAATTAAAATTTGTCGTTTCGATACAATTTCACATCGAATTTCGCATTTTAAATTTCAAGTAGTTTTGATTTGTTTAAGTTTGATTTGATTTGATTTGAAATGTTGTCCTAAAAAGTGCTTATATCGGATCACTACCACACACTATAAATCGTTGGTTAAATAGAAAATTGACACTATTCAAATAGTATTTTTTTTCCAAAACCAGCATTTAAAGTTTTTAAATTTAATTAAATTAATTTTTCCTTTAAAGTTTTAAATTTACACAGAAATATTATATATCATTTTAAAAGTATTTAGATAATGATTAAGACGGCGTGGTTAATTTAATTGACTTATACAAAAGGAGGCAATTGTAGCTTCTAATTTTGAAAAATGTTATTTTTCTATTTAATCGACGAAATATTCTAAGTGGTGCTGTTATGTATTAGAGAGCTATAAAACAAATGGTAGACAAGAAACTCACCTGCACATTTTATAATGTTCTGCACATGGGCGGTGGTAATTATTTACCACCACCGCTAGCTCGTTTGTCCCTTATGCTATAAAATACAAAATAGCAAGACAAAACTTATAGAGTTTCAATATATTGTTTTGTTTGATTTTCTTATATGTTATACCTAGGTATGTTATATTATTTACGATTACATGTTTTGTTATATTTTTTCTAAAAATGACTTTGCTGTCTGATTTCTTACATTTATATTGTAAGTGCTGTTGATTAGTAAATAATAAATGTTTTTTTCTTGTTTGTTATTTATTTAAACCTTTGCCTTGGAAAACTTTAAATACCTAGAAATTATAAATGTAGGTCTATTACAGACTCTTATGATATGTCAAATCTACCGTCAGTTAGGAATGATTTCGAGATGAGAAGAACTGATAAGAAACTCGGCTCGTTATTCCTTATAAATGAGCTTGTGAGCATATGTTTATAAAATACAGATTCATTTTTAAATCCCAATTAGGGATACCCATATAGGTACTACACTACATTAATGTTTTTTTTGTGAACGTTTTACTCACCGAAGAGTCCGAAATGAGAATTTACTCAGATGTTTATTTTTTTATGTGACCAGATTTGAACTTGCTATCTTTTAGGTAATAAACTAGTAGATCATAACCAGAGTTGCCAGATTTTTTTCAGCCTGTAAGGGGCAAACGCCTAAATAGGCAAAAAAATACGGGAATTTTTTACCCGGGACAAATTATCAAAAGACAAATTGTCTAGCGTAGATTGATCGATTTAATAATAAAAAGCTGAGCACAATTCGAATACGGGACGTCTCGCAACGCTAGTCATAACCTCAATCAAGACATGGTGACCTAGTGGTTGTCATTTCGAATTAGATCCCAAAGTCCGTGAATTTGAATCTGTTCAACATTAAATTTTTAAAGTTTTTTTTTGGCGTTGATAACGCTGGCGGGCACTAGTGGAGGATGATAAGATGAGCATGAGGTCAGGTCAGTTAGCGCATCGTGACAAATTCACTAAGAATTTACAACGATGGTTTCCAGGGGGAACCGCGTCTAACAATCCCATTTCCCCCCAATTTTAAAAGTTTGTGATGTAAACTGTTGACCCCATTGCTAGCAATGTTCCATATCAGGGTGACCCTTGCGCTATTCCCCCTGAAATCTGTTGGCTAACTGCCTTAACATGGTTATATTATCATCCTCCACTGGTGCCCCGCCAGCGTAAACCGTTAGCGCAGGCTGATCCACTATTCCATTATCATCAATAAGAAAAAAATAGTGATAATATCACACGGTTAATATATATTAGAATAAATGATTAAGGGTTGAAATCGATATATTTGCCGTTTGGCGGGTGGTGGGCGGCGCACGCGCCTGATCACGTGGTCCATATGGTGGGGAGAGCCCGCCTCGCTCACGCCCATTTCACTGGCTACTGGCTATTCTGGCTAAATCTCATTCTCTCGCAAGCTGCCAATGAAATTTGACATTTCTGAGTAAGCTCAAAATCTTGTTGATATCTAAAATATATCCTATCTTAATAATAATATTATAAACGCAAAAGTTTATTGATGTTTGTTAGATACTCTTTCACGCAAAAACTACTCAACGGATTTTGATGACACTACAGTAATATAGCTTATACATCAGAATAACATAGGCTACAAATTTCATGCGAGTGAAACCGGTGGCACAGCTAGTATGAAATGATTATATTTGTACTGTATTTAATTAAAACGCGAATTTACTGTACACATTAATTTGGCGGGAACCGCCATTTCTCAATTATTCTGTAAAATACATAGAGTAACCATCGACTACCAACTTCACAGATAAGCTCGACCGGAGACGACAGTCACGTATACTGCAATATTATAGATATTTAAAAATAAACATGGAATACATATTAAAAAAAAATGGAACCAATCTGAAAGTATACTAAATAATAAAATATTTTTTCAAATCGGTTTATAGATACCTACACGACGGAATTCTGAAGTACCTAACAAATATAAAAAATATAGCTGTATATTTTTTTATATTTGTTAGGTAAAACTTCCTTTTTGGGTGCCAAATAACCAAAGATTTGCATGTAATCTGGACTCGAAATATGTAGAGTTTAGTAAATATTATATTTCATGTTTTTCTTTTGTTGTGGATATATCTAATATAAAAAACACGATTTTAAGAATTCAATCACTTAAACATTCGTCCTCACTGGATGATAATGGAATGGTGAATGCATATGCACTAACGGTTTGCTCTGGCCACCAGTGGACAATCAGGTCAGTTAGCCCATCGTGACTAATTCACCAAGAATTTATCATGAGGTACCGCGTTGAGGTCAACCTGACAGATTCCCCCCTGCCCCCCTTATACCTTCAAGAATAGGTAAGTGATAATAAAATCTTCTCCAACTGCCTATTAAAGAAGAAAAAAAAGGGATACTCCCTCAGTGTTTATAGTTCTTGTGTTTTTTTCAAAAATGATTGACCTTTACAATTTTTCCATGCATAGTTTGGTCGGCTAGCTAAAGTTAAACTCTATAACAAGACCAGCAAGGTCCATCTTGATGATGTAGCAGACCATGAACAAGATTTGTCTATCCCTTTGTATAAAATGTAGACATTTCAGGGCGCGGAGTTTGTTTATGTGAGTCAAGGTTTGTTATGATTCTGTTAGTGCGGCTGGTGGGTGCTTGACGCAGTGCGTGGTTGGCGCCTGGAAGCGAATCCGGTTTCATGTGAACTTACGTTGCTATTTTTACAATACTATAAATATATATATATATAGATATAGCGTTAGACAAATCATTAGAAGCGTAGGTAGACATAAAGTATAGAATGAAAATAAATATAATAGGATATTGTATATTTTGTAGTGTATCTACTAATAACAAAGTAAACGTCGCGGTCCAGTAATTTATACACTGCTCTTGCAACGGTCGTGAGTTCGAATCGGTTGACAACGAAAAAAAATTATGTTGATTTATATTTTTGGACTGAATTTCCTGTAATAGAAATGCCGATAAAAAACCACATTATTCAAAGTGTGAGGTTTGACTCATCCCACATTTTGATAGTTAGGTAAAATGGAAACCAAATTCAATATACCCAGCGAAATGTTAACCTGTAATATGTTTCTTTTATCATGACAAGACATCTGCGTGAAATTTAACTTTATTTTACTAAAATAAAAGTAGCCTACCTGCCAATAAAAGTCCCGTCAAAATCGGTCCAGCCATTTCAGAGATTAGCCGGAACAAACAGACAGACAAAAATTGTAAATATTGTTATTTTGGTGTATGTAATATATTTATATTCATATGCATGTAGTAAAAACTGTTATTTCTACCGTTTTTGTACTTAGGTGGTGACCACGTCATAGTAGCTTTATGCAAGTAAAGTCAGCCCGATCGGTTTAAAATTGATAAAGTTTCATACAAACTTTCATCCCCTATTTTAAACCCTTGGGGGTAGAATTAATCAAAATCCTTAGCGGATGCCTACGTCATAACATCTACCTACATGCCAAATTTCAGCCCGATCCGTCCAGTGGTTTGGCTGTGCGTTGATAGATCACTATGTCAGTCACCTATGAGTAATATATATTTAGATATATATATAATATATACATATAATACCTACACCCGTGTGTTAAGTAATAAATTACAGTGTTTATTAATTCTTACCATATACTCGTCATAATTGTATTCATTGTGTAATCATATGTAAATATATTAAAATTTGCAAAGGAAAATACACGTTCATCTTATATTTATCCGCTGTGTGTCATCACGCCCTCCACAGCATCAGGATGTAGAGGAAGTTCACAACAGGAACAAAATATTAACAGCGAGAGAGGGAAAACTTGGAATAAAATATCATACCGCCTAATAAAGTTTAAATAAATAAAGTTTAAATTAGAAGAATTTACATAATTATTATAGGACATTTTTGTTTGGGCATTATATTTTTTATACATCAAATAATCACCTAATAAATATTATGTTATCTGTGCCTATACTGAAAACGTATGTAGAGAAAAGTTAAAATAAAAAAATTAAAAAAAAAAACCTTTATTGCTATACTAATATTTTTACATATGGTTGATATTATCTATACATATAAATAAAGTACCCGTCTGCGCTAAAGGTACCCACTCTCTGGTGTACAGTACAAATTGTCTAGGTTTTCACTAGATGGCGCTGTGTGGTATATTTTGAGTATTTAATTCTATATATTGTGTCATACTAGTGAACCATCATATTCGGTACTTAACCTTATCTTCCTATTTGATTTTTGGCTAAAAGTTTCCTTGCGGTCGTGAGGAAATGTTTAGGAAAAATTTAGGAAATAAATGTATTATTCACAACCACACCTTAAAATTGGTAGGTTCTTCCCTTACCATACCCAACGCTAGGAGGCATAAATAAAAACTACGGTAGCCAGGTTACTGTTTGTTGGTTAATGCTGACTAATGAGGTAGTCCTCAGTGTTGTCACCTTACTAGTTTTACCATTATAACTGGAGAGTT